TCTCTCTCCCTTCTCTTTCGTTCATTCTCTCTCTCTCTCCCCTCTCTCTCTCCCCCTCTCTTTTCCTCCCTCCCCCTCGCCCTTCCTGCTCTCCTAGCTCCTCTCTCTCCCCCGCTCCCCCTTTTTCTCTCTTTCTCGCTCTCTCAGATTTGACCATCAGCCACGAATGCAGTACATGGTACCGTGAGAGTCTGTACCTTAGCGGTTGACCTCTCCTATATATAACTTATAATGTGCGATCCCATACAACGATTTTACGATCTCGGTCAACGTCAGCGCAGTTCAGACTGAAGGGTTCTGTGAAGAGAAAAGTATCTAAAACGTGCCATATGAATGTTCAGAAAATATATGTCTAAAGGTTAATTCTACATGGATGTTCTTTCATAATATGTAGGCTATTAAGCTCCCGCGCTGTTTATGTTTGTCTTGTTTTGTTTTGGTTAGTGTTTTACCGCGCTCGCAACTGCATAAGGTCAGCTCAAGGGATACATTAAACCTTTTTAGTTTTGTAGAAATTATTTTGAATTTTGCCCGGGTGGCAGAATAGTGGATCGAAAGTAGACGATAGAATAGGCCTACTATGTCAAGAGAGCAGTAGGCGAAAATATGTGTCTGTCTGTTTGTCTGTCTGTCTGTCCGCCTGTCTGTCACTGGTCACTCTCTGGTTTTCCCCCTTTCTTACCCAGTTGAGCCACACAGGCAGCGAAAGGGCAGTGGGGTATGAGGCCTAATTTAAATGAAACTATTATGAGAAAATAAAGAGCGAAAAAAAATAAAGATCCGAAATTTTACTTTATGGCTCTGTCTCAAAACTCCAAAGAAAGCTAAATTCTATATTTTTTTGCGACTTTTATGTTAGTAAAATGAAATAGAAGTGACTTATGAAATCAATAACATGTTTTTGTTAAAACACTTAATTAAATGAACATAGTTTACTGGAAAGTCAGTTTTGCTTTGAGGGTACATGTGTTGACGTCATACACAATACACACAACTACCACCACACAAAGTGTATGGGTGAATAAAATGGCGACGGTGTGTCTCTCGCAGGAAATCCTGCGGAACTGGGATAAGACTGGGCGGTCAGAATTGTAAGCTTCAACTCTGTTCAATTTTAGTAACTATTGATTATATAGGGAAAGTGTTTCTGTCATTGCCAGTAAAGATCTTACTTAAGAAACCTTAGGTGTTATATTGACCCCGGCGCTCTCAGTCTCAAAAGCGCGAGTTGCAAAGCAACAACAAGGCTTACAAGGCTAACAAGGCAAGGCTGTTGTAGCCTGTTTTTCTTCTCAAATTAGTTTAGTTTCTACACGCTAATAAACTAAATTTTACTGTACTTCTGGGTAAGATTGAATGGCTACCGATTGAATTTTGGTGGACCCACCGCTGGGAGGGGCCGGAACTACTTTTGGGTGTCGTCGGTCGTGTGATGCCATGCGCTGGTCCACTACTTCCTTGGGCCGCTGCGCGGCCTTTGGCCACTATGCTGCGCGCTCTCTCTCTGCTCTTCCTCCCTTGCGTGCATCGTCTCACTTCGGGCACATATAGTCAACTGAAAGTTTCTACCGGATTTTTCGACCGCAAAGCCCTCGAGTGCGCGCGAGTGGCTAGACCTAAGTTAAGCGCTGATTGGTCAATCTAGTCTCCCCCTCTCTTCACTGGTCCGGTAAACTTCACCTGCACCTCTATCTCTCATGGTACCTCTAGTCTTAGGCCTAGCCTAGGCTGGCAAAGTGGGTCCACTAAAGTTCTTCGGCAGAGCCAACTATTTAAATGTTCCTGGTCCACTTTTCTTTTCTTCTCTGTTGGTAGCTCTAGATGATCATCCGGACATCCAATGTAATTTGAACAAACTGACACAGTTTGACTGAAGAACTTGAAAGGATATAAAGAGACAGGACTTGCATGTCAACTGAAACACCTTTTGAAATCCTGAGTTTGTTTTTACACAAATAATTCTATTCAATGGTTTTGAAAACGAAAGTGGCTATTCTCACCCCCCCGGAAGTTCTCGCAAGATCAACTCCTCCCCTCTTCTCTCTCTCTCTGTCTCTTTCTGAATACTGTCTATCGGTGTGGACGATCAAATTGACCAAAACAAAGTTAAAAAATGATGTTAAAACACAAAAGTAAATTAATTTGGTTGTCTACAAAGATGCTACGGCTATTTAACTTTTCGAATCGAGCCGAACTACGCGGGTCGCCATTTTGTTTTGTTCTCTCTCTCACTCTCTCTCTCTCCCCTGCCCACAGACAAAATTGTACGCTTTTAGTAGGCTACAAGTACAGTTGTAATGGAACGTTTGTTCACAGCACAGAATTCTACAATTTTTCTCTTATCACAGTGTAGAATTCTGTGGTTTAGGGTGAACGCAAAATTTGTTGACACGCGCATCGGGTGAGAATAGCCACAAGACCCGCCTGCACTATTCTCACCCCGGATGAGAATAGAGGTGGCCAAACACAAAAGTAAATTAATTTGGTTGTCTATAAAGATGCTACGGCTATTTAACTTTTCGAATCGAGCCGAACTACGCGGGTCGCCATTTTGTTTTGCCCGGAATTCTCGCGCTACTCCTCTCTCTCTTTCTCTCTCTCTCTCCACTGCCCACAGACAAAATTGTACGCTTTTAGTAGGCTACAGTTGTAATGGAACGTTTGTTCACGGCACAGAATTCTACAATTTTTCCTCACAGTGTAGAATTCTGTGGTTTAGGGTGAACGCAAAATTTGGTGAAAGCGCACCGGGTGAGAATAGCCACAAGACTCGCCTGCACTATTCTCACTCCGGGTGAGAATAGAGGTGGCCTTTGAAAACCATACAAGAAGGAAAAATTTTAGAGCAAAAATTTCTTAAATAGACCTGTATTTTTTCCCTTTTCAGTATTAGAATATATTGATAGAACAATGAAACTATAGCAAACATGATGACTTTAGACCTGGCCAGCCTTAAAATATTATGCTATTAATACTAAGATATTGTGTATACGAGAGAGCTTGAATCTTTTTACTTTGATAAGGTAACACCTCAGTAAAACTAGTGCCAGTGGCTGTGATAATGGTTACAAACTGCCTGGTACAACATTTTATCTCCTCGAAACAGGTTTTTGAAATCTTGAAATTTTCTTCTTTATTGTGTTATTCCATAAAAAAAAATGTATCAAAGCACTTTCCTCCCCTCCTCCATCATTTTCTCTGTGATAACTACGATTTTAAACATTTTTTTCAGTGTTAAACTTTGTAAAGGATTAACCGACAGCGACTCATCAGTGAAACTACTTCAGAAAAAGAATTTGAAGAGAGCCTTGTATGAAGTGTGCTCTGCAGTAACCCGCAGTCAGTTGAAACTGGAAAATGCTGTTAACGTCTTGGCTGACTTGAAAGTGAGTGATCATGATAATGATTTTAATTAATTAAATAATTAATTAATTAGTTAATTAATATTTATGTATGTATGTGTCCCGAACTGTTCATTTTAAAAGGTTTCTGTCAAGTCTGGGAAGATTAGCTTCCTTTCATACAGTATATGGTACAAACTGCTATCTCAATCTCATCTGTCATTTATATTGTCAGTGCGGATCTCAACCATTACCAACTTAAGGAGGATTGAAGCAATTGGGTTAGTTAGGCAATTTTTTTGCAGGGTGAGGAAATGCTTTGTTAATGGGCTTTTTTGTGGCAATAGACCTTAATCTAGGTGTTGATCTGACAGTTCCCTGGGGAGGGGAAGGGGGGGGGGGGGGAGAAATATGCGTGGGCCCAAAGCCTAAACGGAGAGGGGACTAACCGTCAAACCCGGCACTGGGGGGCAGCATGTTGCATGGTATGACCACAATGGAGATAAACCCATCTTTAGTCTGACTGACGGCCTTGTTTGACAGTGAGAGAAAATGTAGACAATACTTCTGTGACGGAACTATTTCTGCTAGAGAAGGTTACTACGACATGCTACAGCTTGATCACTTTTGTCTGACAGTGTTAAAAAAATTCTAGCTCTTTTATTAATTTTCCTATCCCCATGAAACTTTGCATGGCTCTTCTAAAGGCCAGCGACCAAACAAAAATGAAAAAAAAATAAATCTTGATCCAGCAATAAAAAAGGGTTTCTTTTTGGGTCCTGTATTAAAAGCCGCTCTTTGGATGCATACTATACACAGGATCTCTAAAGTAAATGACTTACAGTGACCTTGGGCACATATTGCTCATTTTGAGACTGCAACGCCACCCTGCCCCCTCATTTCAGTGTAAACTTGTAGATGCCCTTGTAGACACCCCCCCAGGGGGCTCTTGTGGCCTTAGAGGTTAAGGTGTTCGCCTTTCATTCAAAGGTCCCGGGTTCGAATCCGGGAAGCGACCAAAATATTTTCTTCTCTAAATTTGTCTCCTTTCACTTCCTTTCCTACTCTCTGGCAATGTTCTGTCGTCTGCTTTCGTCTCCTCTTTCTGCCCCCCACCCTTTCACCACCTTTGCCCCCTCCTCTGGGCTCCTGATTCTTTCTGCAGCCTCTCTACTGCTACTCATTGGCTTCCTCTTACTGCTGTCTTTCAGCCACACCCCTGATCTTCTGGTAGGAAAGATCTACACCTAGCCTTCTCGGACAAGGGCAAAAAACCTCGGAGGTCCCGTGTGCAAGTTGTACACGTTAAAGATCCCTTGGTGGTCTAAAATCGATAAGAGTAGGCTTTGGCCGCCACCCGGGCAAAATTCAAAATTTCCTACCAACTGAAAAAGTTACTGTGTCCCGTGCGCTCATATGACCTTATGCAGTTGCGAGCGCCGTAAAACACAACAAAAACAAACAAACAAACAGACCCCCCCCCCCCCCCCCCCGACTGTCTAGACGTCTCCGCGTGAGACTGACCTTTTGTCTCTGGAATTGCGTTACTAAAGCGTACTTTAGAGTGTGGTGTTGAGGAAAATAATATGTCAACTTTAAATGTTTCGAGTGTATGCTGTAAATCCTCTATTAATTATTTTTTGGACCAGCTGTAGGCTTAGATCAAAGAAAATACGTCTTAACCGTAGTTTGCAGTGACCTTTATGAATGAGCTTTTAAGATTCTGTTGGTCTTCCAACTTGTAGACCCATTTGCAAAGATTTGAATAGATTAAACAAAGCCATTTCATTTTATCTTGTTTCAACAGCGATAGGACGAAAGTGAACAAGATATTTTATTGTGTTCTTTTGCCAGCTAGCACCATTAAGGTGAAACATTGCGCGGATGAATGTTGTTTTGCTTTTTAGAAACTGTTATGGTTCCATTTTTGTATTGGTGAATACATGCTAAAATGAATAAGTACTACTTAATATGAGCGTTTTCCTATGTGAAAAGATGGGACAGATACTAGGTAAACAGCTTCTTGAAGTGAACCCATATATTTATTAGTTACATATTTTGAAGTTAGAAATTAATAAAGAATGGTTTTGTTTTCAGGATTACCTACCCAGTGTGCCCTCTTCGCTGGCCGACATTTTAGGAATACTAGGTGAGTTTTTTTTTATCATGATGTTAAATAACAAAGATGTTCAAAACCTCTCTAGGGTTATTTAATTGAAAAGCTGCCCTTATCATGATAGTTTAGACCTGCTCTAATAGCTACTTTGATACTTTACTTCAATGTTTTTCTTGTAGCAGCTTAAGCTTTTATGGAGTGAATATTTTAGTTTTCTTGCTTGACAAGTGAAGTGTAAATCATGTAAGAAATTTTGTCTTTTTTTTGTTTTTGAATTGACGGATGAATTATATATTTGGATGGAGTAATAGCACTTAAAAAATGAGTAGGTTTAAGTTGGACTTATTTATGTATGTTTTTATGTTCACAGATGTGGAGTCCAGTTGTTCAGATGACACTTCTAGAGAAAAATTTCTCAGTTTGGTCAATGCTTTGAGAGTGAGTATCAAATTTGAACTTCCTTTGAGATGAAAGTTAAGTGGAAAGTTCTGTGGTTTCTTTCATTTGTTGGTTTTGAAAAATAAAAAAATCCCCAACAATGTTCCCCTTTCTCAGTCGCAAGGGTAGCAGTTATCAGATTTTGTTACTGGATTTGCTATAGATTAAAAACATTTTCCTTCCACAGCAAGTGGTTGTGCCTGATGGGCTGTTGAAGGAAAGGTTGGATCAAGACTCTCTGGAGCTAGCCGGGCTTGTGGCCTCTCAGCAAGGTTTCAACCAGAAATATGTCAAAACAAAGACTCGCCTGTAGTAAGTCAGCAGTTCCTCTCTGTATCGTTTTTTCATGTGTGTTAAATGTCTGTTCTTACTGACTTATATAAACATTTTTTTTTTTCTCCATAAGTATAAATCCACTGAATCACAGATAGCGTTGTGCCTTCTTACAAGACTTGCAACGGTGTGGCTCGTTCACCTAGATCCAGTTCTTGCACATTTTCAATCCTGGTCATATTGTGTAAAGAAATGCTGCCATGTACAATGTAGTGTTGTCACTGTCAAACATGTTTAAGGGATTCAAACCCAATAAGTCAGTGTCAAATTGTCCTCGTCCATTATTCTTAGTGACCACCCGTAACTGTCGTGAGTTGTCTTTGTCCTTTCGTAGTGATTACCCTTGTCAGTGTTGTGAGCAGTATACAAGCATGAGACCATGTGGTCAGTGTCTCTTCCGAGCAGAACATGTGAACCAGTATGTGCCAGTTGTTAAATATTAACTGATTCCGTCCATGATTCTTTCAGGCTCTGGACAGAGTTATTTTTCCCTGCTCAGTTTTTGACCTGGGGTGCATCTATTTAATGCATAACTGTGAAGCTCTAAGTCATTCTAATAGGTATTGTCATATACCAAACTGATGGGAATAAATAGAAAAATCTGTTTATATCAATAACAATGACCTATAATCTGTTTGTATTACATTTTCCTTCTGACAAAAACGAATGAGAAAAAAAAATTGCGCAACAGCTCTTCGAAAATTTCGACTTACCGCATTTTTTCAGCTCTACAAGTCCTTATAATCCATAGGAATCAACACAACATTGTAGCGATATCACCCTAGCACACATTTATGCAAGAATTTCACAAATTTAGTTGAATATCTTTCTTTGAAGAGCCTTTTTATTATACCAGGTTCCATGTTGTTTACCCTTAGATCTAGCCTACATTGCAACAACAAAACAACGATTTTTGCAAGAATTTCGCGGAGTTTCGATCGATATTGGCGCTCAGAGATTGAGGTCAGGTTTGTTTACAAGTTCTACTCCCTTTCGACAACTTAAAAAGTAGGAACTATGTTAAAAAGTGCACCTTTGTTTCGGATTTCGTTGAGCCGCTCACAGCGGCCGAATGGAGGCAGCGGAAAAACTCAGAGCCGCTGTCAGCGGCCGAATGGACGGAATCAGTTAAACTGCCTACCCCGACCAGATGTACATGTCGTTGAATTTTATATATAGGTTCATAGCACTGGAGTTAAGTTTCCTTGTGTACTAGTGTGTTGTAAGCAGACAAATCGCCTTTTTTCATTTTGGCGCCAACATTTTTTATTTGCTAATTTGAAAGCGTGCTCAGTTACCCCACTAGTGTTAAACGATCAAAGTGAAACTATGACTAGGTTTTGAAACTGGAATTCAAATTTTGGTAGAACACTACTTTTCAATGGTTACGCTCACAAAAAACCCCCCCTTTTTCTTGAAACTGTACCTCTTCCTGCAAGGACATAATATCCCCTCAACCCGGATTGGCCTTGACAGTCAGGATTAAAGCAGCCTATCTAAATATTGTTGATGGGGGTGTCAAAATTAGAATGACAAGCCACATAGATGAGAAAAAGAGAATTAAAGCAAGGTTCCTGTTTGTTTATAACCATTCGGTTACAGGCAGAAACTCCCTTTTTTTGGGTTTACTTCACTCTTCAAGCCCTGAGTTTTTTCCACCGTTTCCCTGAGTTTTTTTCTGCAGTCACCTAAACCTAGTGCACTATGTCTCATTATAACCCCAAAAGCTTTTCTCCAACTTCTAAATAGTGAAAACAAAGGCTTAATCATTATTAAGAAACTTGGTTTTGGGATTAGTTTCGAAAAACAAGCAAAAACTAGCACTAAATAAAACAAAACGGTTGTCACTTGTACTGGACGCTCGATGGGGAACAGGGTTATTACCGCCGGATGCTCCCAGCGTTCGATGGGGTTCAGAGTTAATCAAAGATTCTTTTGAGCTCTATTGCTTGCTTTTTATTTTTATTTTTATTCTGTTGTTTGACAATATTTTTTGTTTTGACCTTCTCAGCTACAAACAGCAGAAATTCAATTTGCTTCGGGAAGAAAGTGAGGGCTACTCAAAGCTGATCACAGAGCTTAACCAGGACATTACAGGCAAGCTCACATGGGAGCAGGTCCTACAGAATATCAAGTCTCTGATTGGTGAGTACTCTGATCACCTTTGTTGCTCAACTGGCAGGTGTGTGGCATGGTGGTGGAATCAGGTGCTCGTCAAAATAATGAAATCGAAGAAATAGACTGCAACTTTTATGTTCGCTGTAAAACACATTTTTGTGTGGATCTTACTGAAAGGTGTTGGTCAGAGGCACAAAAAAATGTAAGTTTGCAGTTTCCAAGGACACTCAAGCTTTGGAAATTACCAGACTTAGGTGTCCGTTTTCTTGCTAGTTTTACCAGTTACACTGGGTGAACACCACCTCCTTATATCGTAAATATCTCAACTTCTGTTCTAGATACATGGATATTTTGTTCATAAGAAGTGAAACAAATGAATAACCTTTAAGATTAAACACAGCTTAAAGTACATCCCCATCCACCCCCTCCCGTCCAGTGTCTGTATGTCTGTCTGTCTGTCGGTCGGTCTCCAATTATGGGGATCAGTATGTTCTTTCGTGCATTCTTTTCTGCAAAGTAGATAATGTGAGCCAATTAACCTGATTATGTCTTCACGAAAGGTGTGTTTGTACTCAGATTTTAAAGCCGTTATCTTTAAAAAAAGTGTAGACATTTCGAGAAAAAAAAAACATGGACAGTTGTCATATATTTTCTGTCAGTGGTGACATTCTCGGCTGTGTGATTTTTGCAGGCTGCTTTGACTTGGATCCAAACAGAGTGCTTGACATCATATTGGAAGCCTTTGAGTGTCACCCAGAGGAATACAAGTTCTACATACCTTTGCTGAGAGCCTACATCATCGACAAATTGACCTTGTGTCATATTTTGGGCTTCAAATTTCACTTTAGAGAGGTGAGGCTCGTCCTGATAATTTTAATGTATTAAAACTTGTTTTTTCTGTTTTGTTAGATAATGATATTAGTAATGCAATTTAAATTCTATATGAAAGAGGTCAGTTGAAACTGCTGTGTACTTCAGGGTGACTGCCAGGGAATCCCAAGGGTATCTGAAAAAAATCGTCGAGACACAGGAATACCCCAGGATTTTGAGGAAATTTGTAAATTGCTCTGGGAAAGACCCGGGAAAATACTTAAACGCTCGTGAAGATTTGAAACCAAACCCGATAAGGTCCTTGGGTTCGTTTTTACCGGTTGTTGTTTTGATATTTATTTGGCTTTTCCCGGTCTGAGTGTACGTTTCGCGTGAACAGGCGGGGCTATGGCGGCAAGTGGAAATGTATGTGTGATACCAAAGCTCAATCGGGAAAATCAAGATCAACTTTCGCTTTCGTTACCACCCAGAAATTTGCTGGCAGTAGTCTGATAACGCAACATTTTTAACCTGCAGGTTTTGCATTACAAACGCTGTGTCGCCTAGAATTTAAATCAATATTTGTCCAGTGGTGTCACTTGTGAAAAAAAAAAAGAAAGAAAAAAAAGTTATACAAGCGTCTTGTCGGGCTTGCCATCGTGAGCGGTCAGTGAACCTGGGCGTTCACTTCACATTGTAAATGCTGGCCATGGGTGGGATCACCAATGTTCATTCAAAGTCTGAGCGCTGCGAAGTATAGGACTCCAGAATAGGGGGATTATTGATTTTTTAAAAAGATACACTCGGGGGAGGGAAGATGGGGTTGAAGGCACCACTGGATGACAAGAACTGAACTTGGAAGCGAATTTTAGTATTTAGAATTTTGGTCACTTCTTGAGCTCTCTGCAAAGCAGCCTTTTCTTGCAGGCTTGTGAGGAATCAGGTTCTGTCATACTCATATCTTGTAGCATTGTATATCTATATTTTAGCTTTATGTTCAAGATTCGCAGATTTTCAGAGTCACTGCATCTTTCCCTCCCATATTTCTTACAACTCTCACACTGAATAGGTCTACTTGAGCCTTTCAAGTTATTACTCTACTTTTGAGTGTGAGCAATAATTTTTGTCTTTCACGTTTATTATATAAGTGTTGACATCCAAACTGGTTCTTGACAGTCGATATTCTGGTTCTAGGCCTTTTCTCAGGCTCAAAACAAGATTTATATAGTTTATGTGAGTAGAGGAGAACCCTGGTGGCACAGGTGCTTCAATAAATACCTCTCTCACTCGAAGAAGGGACCATCTTGGCGACGGGAGGGGTCATAAATCCTACCAAAGCCCCCACTGCCTTGTGGGTTGTCAGTGGGTGACAAAGGCTAGCAGAGAAAACTGTACACAAACCGGCAGTAGGCAATGGGAAACCACTGCTGTAATATCCCAAGAATAGTCATGGAAAAGTACATTCATTCATCAGAAATGTAGCTTTTTTGTGAGCATCCGAGCAAAGGAATGAATGGAGAACTATGATCGCTGATGTCTGTCGCAGATCTGGCACTGGATGATCATGATGATGATAGTTTATGTAGGCGAATATAATGAGGGGAAAATGTAAATATTGATAATTAAGAACAGACTGAAATACCTAAATCACACAGTACTCCATTGCCACACTGACATGTTGTTGACTGGATATAATGTACCTACATGCGTGTGTGTGTGTGTATAAATGGAGTGCGTGCTGTCATTGTTATGTAACATGCCCCTGGAAAATGGATGAGCCCCCTTGGAAAATTGAGAAGCCGGGTTGGCAGTCACCCTGGTACTTGTTATCTTTCTCTTCCTCTCTTTGCTCCCACATGGACTCCTTAATAACTGTTTAATGAGTAAATTATTTCACTTTCTCCTTCACTGCATTTTTTGTTTCAAGGACAGTTCCCTCATCACAATGTTGTCTACTCTTTCCTTTTCCTGTTATACTGTCTTTGGGCTTCACTGATAGGTCCTACTACGTATTTCTCTTTCTTTTCTTTGTCTCTTTTTTTTTTTCAAGTCCTAAAAGGAAATAGGTGGTTGGCAGGTGTTCTGGTGTGGATTGCTTCTCCTCTCTTATCAAACATTTGTTGTCCTTATGTCTCCTCCTTTGATTTGTATGTGTTGCAAGTGCTGTAAAACTCTTGACTAAAATTAAAAAACAAACTCCCTTTATTGCACCAATGTGCTTCTCTTTACTGAAATGAAACTGAAAACTGATGGACCAGCTGTTTTTCTTTCATCTCTTTTCCTGTTTTTATGTCAACATGCTTGTTACTTTTCGTTTCACATTTTCAGTCGACTGACTGGAGCACCCCAAAGTCTCTGTTCAAGTGTGCAGCTCTCTTGCTGAACCACCAGCTTGTGGACCTGGACGATCTCTATCCCTATGTGAGTATCCCAAGTCTTCTGTGAATGTTGCTTTTAAACTTGTGAGAGGTGATCATCTTTTGCCCTATTGGCGTATTTTGCGTGCACCAAATTGTCTGAATATGTTTATTTTAAGAGTGGAAATGATGTAGACAATATAGCCGTTAATTGGAAAATACAGTCAAACCCTGTCCAAGATGACCACCCATTGTTGAGGGAAAAAATATTCATCTTAGGCACGTGTTCTTCTTGGACAGTGTTAGTATAGTATAATAGAGAAAAGAAATGCAAGTTGGGAAATGAGAGCTGGTCGTTTGTACAAGTAATTGTCTTGGGCAGGTGGTTGTTAGAGCAGGTTTGACGGTACATTGCAAGTTTCATCAATTTAAAAAAAAATGTGGTAATGGTCTATTGTGATGTGGTGGAGCAATTCAAAATATGATGGCTGCTCCTACACAGAAAGATGTTGTTGCTGTTGTTATTTTTGTTTGTTGGTTTAGTGTGGTTATTGGTCCAGCAGCTCGCAGGCTCTTGCCCTTCTGCCTGGTGTCTCATAGTTGTAAGTACAAGTGTTTGACTACTGCAGTTTTGTTCTGCTTAAAATGTCATCCACGTCTGGGGGTTGGATAAGACTTTGACTCTGAACACTGGTTTGACAGTATGTTGCTGCTGCCAACATTTGATCTTTAACCCTATTCGTACGCCCTGGGGTCATTTTGTACCCCCAGGGTTGTATTCTTCACATTTTAGAATACTTGTAGTACGATGATCTCTTTCAAATTTTCCGAATTTCTCAAAAAATCACTTTTGACAGACTGCTGTGCCAAGCGTACAGATCGGATTAACGAGTAAAATTCCTCTTTGAAAGTGGTGGCACAGAGTTCCCCACGATAATGGATACGATAATAAAACATGACGTACGGATTGGGTTAAAATTCTAAGGACTCATGTTGAAATTGTTTTTAAATGAAAAAATAAAGATTTTATATCACCACAGTTGCAGCCACTGAATCCCCATTTTTTCTGATGTTCACAGTTGCAACCTTTGGACTCTGAAATCATTCCATTTCACAACAAAGAAGTCGCTGATGCCAAAGCATATGCAAAAAAGCTGAACACAGTCATATTGTCTGACAAGAAGGAGGAGGACAAGGATAAAGATGAGCAGCAGATTATTGATCTGGTAGGTTGTACGCACAAATTTGATGCACATGTATGACATCTGAATCCCATGACCTATTTGTCACCTCCTGGTGTGCTGTTCTACATTTAGCCGAGGTTAGCCCGTAAGGGTGGACGGTTCGAGCACCATCCTTTCCAAATGGTCTATATTGTGTTTTTGAGTGCAAGATATCTACAGGCAATCACCTTTATACTTGAGACAAAACAGAGCACTCTGTTTCATAACTATCTCTTACGTTTGTTCTGAAGTTTGAGTCATGCAGACCTTATAAATAAACTTTGACTTTGGATCATTTTGATAAAGTTTTAGATGTTCACATATAGTAAACCAATTCAGATTAAGAATTGAGAATTGGCAATGCTCCCTTTAAAATTACCAAAATAAAACAAACTGTTCATAAGGTGAATAGTTTTTATTCGGTGTCATAAAAAGGTCTACATGATTTTCATTTGCACCAAGATTTAAAAAAATCAGCCTGTTCTCTCTTGTGCTTCCCATCAGCCCATGAGTCTTTTTGTTGACCTCTTTTACGGCCCTGCTGGGGAGGCTCATATTTTAAGCAAACAGTCAGTACAGTAGGTCACAGTTGGATACAAAGCAGTAGTGCTAGGACTAAACATGCATGTAAACAATGTGCGGGTAGCGAAAAATGCTGCAGACTGCTGGGCTGCCAATCATTACGAAGTAGACAAAATCATTATGACTTTTCAATTTCCATCAGTTATGATTGTAGCTTCTTCGATACCGATTTAAAAACTACCTCCACCCATCCTCCACCCTTCTGGTGTATAAAGAAAAAAAAATCAGACACCTACTGTGTGTGTGCGTAGCTGTTCTGCCATAACCCCACTCTGTGCAAACAGCTCTTGTAGTCACTTGATACCACTTTGACAGTTCAAAACTTTAGTTTGTGCCAAAACTAGGAGTTAGGCAAACATTAGTTTGATAAGTTTTTAAAAAATCCTTATGCTTTGATTTGTGGGGAATGATTGAGGCCAATGAGAGAATTAAAAAACCAACTTTGACACTATCAGCTGCAGTGTACAAGGTGGTGTGTAATGATGCACAGTCAAAATCAAAGGCCTGTAAAGTGTTCTATAGGTTTCTTGTGTTATTCCTAGAGTCAAACCGACAGCCAATAACTTCAACACCCCGCTTCCCACACGCACCTCCAACTTGACCGTGATGAGCCAGATGGGGCCTCTTTCATCATTCCTCTGTTAATGTCACATTTATCCGTGAACCTACAACCCCTGTCCTTGACACCCCAGGAAAAAAAACTGCCCTAGTGATGTTACCAATGTTTGAGTCACCTTACAATTTAAAAAAATTTGTTGATAATTAATTCGTGTGCTGGTGGGTGGGCAACCTTCCATAAGATCCCAATTTTTTTCTTACTTATAGTTATGTTTTATGTAGTCAAAAGACACACACAGTGTAAAAAATAATCAAACAAACATGACTGCCCTGATACAGTCCAGGATCAGGGTTGAGTGAGTTAAAAAAGTATTCTCCCCCCTCCCCCGTAATTTCAGAGAGAAAACAACCAGAAACTGGGCCTGTGCGAAGCATTGTTGGAGATTGGAGCCTGGGACAATGCCAAGGCCATCTTGGATCGGTTACCGGAGCACTTTGCCGTGGTGCACAAGTCCATCTCACAAGCCTTGTGTGCTCTTGTACATCGAGTTATTGAACCGTTGTATGACAGGTATGCATTTTTATTAAGTTTCATGCATGAAATTGTATCACTGAAAGTATCACTTTTGTTTTATCTTTTTGTGTGTGGTTACTGTGAAGTGAAAATGGCTAATGAATATACAGTTTTGTTAAATAGATTTCAAATAGTAACTTGCACATTTTGTAGCAGTACCTCTCAGCAACTTCTCATTTTTTTAGCAATGACAATCGCCCGCTGCGCTTTGGGCCGGAAATCGGCCTCCGCGCGAGGGGTAATTTTTGGGCCGCTCGGAATCAGAAGTGACTCTCTTCTAAGTATAGTTACGGGAAAACTCCTGGATGAAAATAAATGAAACTCTGCAACCAACCAGAGGAAAGGTTAAACTAAGGACATGCCAGCGTACAATCCCGAACGATTTCTAGAACCGGAGATATTGTCGTGTTTGTGCAAATTTCCTCTGCGGTTCGAAAACTAAGCGGAGCTGCGGGTTGATCGCCGACCACACAAGCGCCCCACATGTCTTCTTTATTGCTGTAAAATTTCAGATCTCTGCGTTTAGTAGGTTTTCCGTATTAACTTAAAATTACCGTCTATCCATTGATAAAACACTAGATCTGGAAACTAGATCACGCATTCCAAACGCGAGGTGCATGCATGCAAGAGGCGCGGGATCGCTAGGCGGCATGTGATTGGCTGCCTATAACCAAATAGGTCACCGATGACTACATCGCGGGTTTTCCCGATATCGCTTTACTGAGTTTTAGAAGGGGTGATCGCGTAGCGGTAAAAACGATGTCACGCAATTCAACAAATTTCACTCAAATATCAGTCTTTAACACATTACACCCTAAGGGCCTGGACGGGAAGTCCATTGTTAGATCCTAAGCAAGGGGAAAGAACCCACCTCCCATGAATACTAGCCTTTAAAAAACACATTTTAAAAATACTAAACAAATTCCAAAAATCCTGAAAAAATAAAAGTTAAAAAGAAAACTGAATGTAGTTTCAGAAAAATATAACTTTATGTATGCGCAAACTGTTGGAAATGTTCTAACTTTAGTTCAATCGGGGTGTCCGACCCGTCACTCTCACTCTCAGCCTCGCGGTCGGGCCCTAGACCTAGATCTAAATTCTATAATTTCTCCGTCTGATCAATCGGAATCGCCCCAAACTCTTCCTACAACGTTTTCATCAAAATCTGAGCCATCTGATTTGTCACATGCTCGTTTTTGCTCAAATCCATCGTTATTTCTGTTTTCGAACTCAATTGTGTCGCTTTTCAACAAGTCGAGGCACCTTCGAAGTGTCGGTAACGCGATCGCACTTCGATCAGCTCTAATACTAACACTACTGGCCCGAAAAATTTCGTTTCGGTATCAAACGAAAGAAGAAACTTTTTGCTATACTGTGCAAATCAAAATCCCGGCCCCAGAGTCTCGTCAAGGCGAGACTTTCGTTTCTAAAGACGCTGGGTCGGCGCGGGCGGTTCCGGGCGAGTCAGGGTGGAGCGCGTAAGGGAATTCCCGGGCGATCCCGGGCGAGTTAGGGTGTAATGTGTTAAGATCCAAAGTAATAAAGACATCGAAAAAGTGATAGCAGAACTAGATTCTGCACTAAAAATCACATGGAGATGCCAAGTTTCATTCATATGCTCCAATTCATTACTGACTTATGAACAGTTTTTCCTCAAAATACATCAAAACATGTCCCACATTTTGGCGATTTTTTCCTATAGGAAGGTCCTCCAACATTTTGCAAACAAAAATCACAATAACTTTTTTATTTATCGATGGGTTTTTAAAATTTAAAAACCATAGTTCTTAGAATTTACTCTATTTTCATTTAAGTCCATTTTAAAGCAATTTGGATGAAAATTTAATTTTTCATTGTCATTGCTACATTTTTTCCCCCATCAGTAATCATGACCTGTAATTGTAATTGTATGACATGATGGCATGCTTTCTGCTTCCATTGTCAAATGACTTGTTATTGTATGATACATATATCATGCTTGCTGTGTCCATTTTCAGGTGACTTAAAATTGTATGATATGTATATCATATTTCGTCGGTCGCCTGATGAAATCGTGAATTCCACACGAAGCAAATTTTACAGGAGAGGGAAAAAACTGATTTTCTCCGTCATTTGGCGTCCAATATATAAACTAAATGGATAAATCTAATCATTTACCTTTTAGAAATAATACTGTAGTACATTTTTTGCCGTGCATGGTCATTTTTTCTAAAAAGTGTGGGATTCACGATTTTCATATTCGAATCTCGCTTGATGCTGTCGTGAATTCCACACAGGTATGGAATTCATGATTTCATCAGTAGGTTTTTGGGAACGCGGTGTTGTATTCACGGTTATTAGGCAGTGTGTTTTCTCTTATTTGAGGCCCTGGTATGTTTAAAAATATATGAAAGCACGAAATACTGTTATAAGAAAGATTTTAAAAGACCAATTTAAAACTGAGAATGAAATTACAGACTGAGTGAGGCAGAAAGCTATTCATTATTTTACCACTATAAACATCTCTCTCTCTTACATGAATGTGATATTGTATGTAATCTATGAAATCATACTCCTTCATTTGCATACTTTCTCTCTTTCTGTCCTTCTTTCTCCAATTGTATGTAAGTGTATTTCCTTTGGGGAGGGGGTGGTGGATGGGTTGAGAACTTGATTTATGTCAAAATTCTATACCCCCTGAATGACTGAATGATCATCTTTCATTATCTTACCCTTTTTGTCTCTCAGATCCTGAAAATTACTTTTTACCGTTTATAAGTAGAATGATACAGTGGTGGGGAACTGTTTGTTAAGCTTTTCTTGTCTCTGGACTTTAGAAGACTCTCCCACTCTTCGTTAGAGTTCAGTCTGAAAAGAATTTCTCCTTATGTATATCAGAGGCTTCATACTGCATTAACAGTTTGGTCTTCTCTTTGTCTACCCGACCTGACAGTTTTGTTAACTGCAATTTTGGCAAAACCGTGGAGGTTCGTTGCTATAATTATAAAAATTGCAGTTTTGAAAATGTATTTTATTTAAAGCCGCCGCTCAATGACGCCGTGCATACTTTCTACTTGCATATTAGTGTGGCCTCTAATAAGATTTTGTATTCAATTTCGGTGTTTGCTTTAGTGGAGAGGGCACCTACGGCATTAGAAATATATGCAATTTTGTGCTCAGCTGTATAATAATGAATATATTGTTATAACCTTCTATGCATTTGTCCATCAAGCAACTTGTGAATTCATTTGCAATCAAACAACATTGTGCCTTTTGTCATAAGTAATAGATGGCAACAAACGAAGTCGCATTGAAGATTATGTGCATATTTCTGTAACAAGAGCTGGATGAATTAATAGACAATGACAAAAGTACACCCTGAAGATTCAGGCAAATCATCACAAGGTCTTCTTGCCTTAGAGCAAAAGGTTTTATCCATTGCGTGCCCTTTCTTTGTCATGTTCTTTTCTGACATGTGAGATTCTCACTTAGTCTGGCTGACGCTGTCAAGACTCAAAACTCAGGCACAATTCACATTGATCTCTTTTTGACTCATAGATCGACATGTTCTTTTCATCTAGCACAAATTTAAGTAGCCTGACATGCAAGGCAGATTGTCCCTGACCAGTGCAGGCCGTTTCAAGATCCGACAGATTACAGAATCTGGGATCAAGATACAGTTTTCCAGAGCTTTGCTGGCAATAGTGAGTGGGAACCTTCAGAAGCATGTCCACAGATGGGAAACAGAAACTCCTTGGCTTGCACGTCCCTTGTGGATTGTTTGGTGGTGCAGCTGGGCTGCGCTCTTCGAAAGCACTCTTTACAAAGTTCTGGAGGATCCAGGTTGTCATCAACAAGTGCCTGAGGAAGATCCTCAGGATCAGATGAACAGAGTCACCAATGAGGAAGCAATGACCAGAACATTTTCAGACAGAAGAAAGCAGTGGAGATGGATTGGACTGAGCATACCATTTGGAAATCAGGCAGCTACATAACAAAAACGTTTTAATTTTGAGTCAACAGTTTAAACGATCAAGGGAAAACCATGTGGAACCTGTAGAAAAGTCGCAGAGAATGATGAACAGGAAAGTGGAAAGACATTTGAAAAACATAAAAAAGTTAGCCCAGGGTAGGGAATAGTGGAAAGTGTTTGTCCGTATGGGGTGAGCCAGGTGATGATGAAACTGGCATGGGCTCCTCTAGAGCAGTTTACTATGGGTGAGCCCGGTCATAGATATAAATCCTGCAAACTTTGATCTTCTGGTCATTCTGTTTCAGATAATAAACCCAAGTGTGCATCTTTCAGCTTGGTGTATCGCCTTTGCTTAAATTGTACTTTTTTGTGTTGAGAATACCATTTACATAGGACTTTCTGCCTCCCCGTTCAAAGTCCAAACAAAGACAAAGATAGTTGTTCAGATAGTTGTTCTGGCGTTGTCTTTTACTAGTGAGTAGTCCATTGATTTGGTTGAGCAATCATATCTGGGTTTCAGTTCATTAGTTTTTTAATATCGTCCTATCTCTTGATTTGTATTGCTTATTGCTGCCCCCCCCCCCTCTCTCTCTCTCTCTCTCTCTCTCTCTCTCTCTCTCTCTCTCTCTCTCTCTCTCTTCTTCTTCTTCTTCTTTTTCTTCTCTTACTCTCTCGGACGTTAAAAAAGCACCTTTGATCTGTTCCAACGCATCGTGTACTTTGAATGATACTTTTTCTTAATTAAAGTCTGGTTCTTCTACTATTTCCGTGCTGTATTTTCTGTAGCTTTCTTTGATGCCCAAAATGGTTCACATTGCTTGGCTTCTCAAAATTCCTTTTCTTGTTAGATAACTCTGATGTCAAATCAAAGATCTTTCAATGTCAAACAAGTTTGGGTTGTGATACAACACAGAAATATACTTGTAATTTATACTTGACTACGTCAATTTTTAGATTTTTAAATTAATTAATTAATTAATTTTTTTTGCAAACGATCAGAATTGTATAACCACTACTAGAAGGGCACACACATTACATATTCGAATTTGATAGTCGTCATGAAACAATACCCGTCTTGCATCTAGGAAATACACATTTTAATTATGTGATAGAGAGGTTTTCTCGCAAAACACATACAGTCGACATCATAAATTATAATCTTTGGCCTGGAAACCCTGAATACTGACCGACCATTATGTTTGCTCAACGCAGTCGCCCATATTTCAATGGTCTAAAGAGGCGTTCACGGCGCCAACGGTCAGCCCCGCGAGTCATAAACCGACTGATGAGATCGTGAATTCCACACAGGTGTGGGATTCACGGTTTCATCAGGCGACTTTTGGGGCACGGTGTTTATTCACGATTTTCTTATTACGTCAGATTACACGTTTGAGTTGAGATAATTGAAAAATTGTTTTACAGGGACATGTATCTCACCGAGTACTATCAAAAAATGCAAAAAAACTATTTTAGAAAATTTGTGGAATTCACGGTTTTATCAGGCGACCGACGATTTGCTAACTTTTACCATTTTCAGATGTTTTGTAATTGTATAATGCATATATCATCATGCTTGCTTTCTGTTTTTCCATTCTTAGAAACACAGGGCTGACCGCCACTCTGGCCAAGAAGCGAGACAAGCGCGAGCAGGGTCAGTGTGAGTGCAGCCGGGCACACAGCTTCAAGGAGGTGTTCCACTCCGCTCTGCCCATGCTCTCCTACTTGGGCCCGCATGCAGCCAGCGACCCCATCCTCATGGTGAAGATTATACGACTGGCCAAGACTTTCATGAACAAGGTAGGACTACTGCTGTAAATCTCATTCTTCTTTTCTTTCTGTCAAGTGTCAGATCTGAAACAGATATCGGCTTTCGGGGTTCCCCTTTCATTTCTTTGATCAGATGCTCAAACCCCAATCTTCATTATCCTTGTTTTTTTCCCCATCAATGATCTATTCTAGTTTTTTATGGAAGTTGTTCTTGGTCTATCTCTGCCTCCTTTGCCTTCTTTTCCATGCAGGGGATTGTTAAGAACATATGAAAAACTAGCTTTCTGTTTTTAAACAAGATAATAGTGGTGCATTCTCCTTTCTCATGGTGGACCATACTAATGGCCAAGACTCAAATGAAGAGGTGTTAACACTGAGCTAAACGTTTCATGTTTTGCCAATATGCCAATATAGATTTATGACAGGAGATTTTTTTGAAAATAAGGAAAACTAAATGTTTTTAACTTATTTAGAATCAAGAATATAGGTGTTTTCTCTATTCTCATGGTATCAATATGCAGTGATATGAGAGGCTTATACTTTTGTGAATAAGTTGTGACCACAGGACAGGAGGTCATCACTCCAACAGGGATTTATGTTAAATGGTTTTATATGTGTAAAAAAACTCCCAACATTTTCCCTGCACTAAATGACCATTATCAAATCTATGTTCTTCTCTGTTCTCAAAACTAAAAACGGATCTAATTGGTTCTTGTTTTGTCCCCAGAGACATTCAGGGGGCATTGGGCCGGAGGACGATGTCGCTTACTACGGCTTCCTGAATGTGTTGGAGGAAGTTCTCCTGCCCTCCCTGGCCCTCCTCCCTGGGAACTGTGCCATGGGGGAAGAGCTGTGGAATCTGCTCAAGCTTTATCCGTATGAGATCAGGTGAGAGTCAGCAATTATCTACTCAGATGGTTTTTCGGGTGAGAGAGATTGTGAGCTGGCTTCCGTACTAGCAAGTGAATTCCTCTGTCTATTTTGATTCTCTTTGATTCTCACTAAGGTTTATGCTATGTTTTAGTGTGTCCAATTGGCTGTATGACTTTTTTTATGCTTTGAGCAAAAGTTTTTCTTGGTTTCCATGATATGGAAGTGAAAGTGATGGTTCTAGGTTTTTCTACTTCAAAATGTTTTTTGTTGGCAGAGCTGTAAGGGTTACGTATATGGTGCACTGGGCTGCGCATTATTGCGACGTGTAAGATATATCTGTCGAGCCGTGAAGAGGTTAAAACAGCACAAATCATCTGCAAGTATTTATGAAATAAAATTATTGTCTGGTGTATACTAGATGTTACATTATTTTCATTATTGTGTTGTGTCACAAGAGAAAGTCTGACAAGCTTTTTAACTAAATTGTCTGAAATAGGTATCGGCTTTATGGCACGTGGAAAAATGAAAGCTATTTCCAGCACCCGATCCTGATCCGAGCTAGAGCTGACTGTCTGGAGAGGGCCAAGTACATCATGAAGTGAGTGTGCACAACTGCTTTTTTTTTTTCCCCATTATTTTTCTCTTCTGATATTCTTCATTCCTTTATTCTATCCAACAAGGTTTTTGGGGGGGGGATGTACGATATTTTGTCCATGTTTGAGGATTAAGGAACGTCCATGTATATTCCTACTGAAGTGAAGGACACCACTATTAGATTGTACCTCTTTAGTTTCCATTTGTTTGTCTATTACTGTAGTTTCTCTCTTTAACGTTGAAATTTATGGCACATTTATGCCATTTTATAACGTGTGATAGGATGTTTTATCAGGAATGAAATGATAGAACTTATTTAGATCAAGTTCTAGATCATGACACAAATATACCATGTTGAGGATATGTCTTTCAATGAAGAATGCAATCAAGTAAACCTGTGAGTGGAAGAAATAACTTGGAAAATCATCTATAACAAGAATTGCAGAGCAAGTATAGATACCTATGTCAAAGAAATGCCTTTACCAGTATCTCAAGAAGTGAAGTGACCATTTAGTTTCATGTACAGTTTTCTTATTATGGTCCAAAGTTTGTTCTAGCCTTGTCCTTAATATTTCAGGCGTTTGTCGAAAGAGACTGTGAAGCCTTCTGGGAGACAATTGGGAAAACTCAGTCACAACAACCCTGGCATTGTTTTTGAATACGTAAGTAGCAGTCTTGGAAAAAAATACAAGAAATAGTTCTTTGTTGTTCAGGTTGAATGTTGCATTGACTGCATGTGTTTAGGTAAACTGAATATTTTTGTTGTTTTTGGTTTTGAAGAAAATATGATGTCAAGTTCTGTCATTGTCATCTTTTCAGGTGGTTGAAAGTCGCAACTGGGTCATTTTATCCGTAAAGCGCTTCGATTCTTTCTGTTAGAAGATAGATAATAAAGAAAATATGAGATTTTTGTGTTTTCTTTTTTTTAAAAAATAGGTTAATTTTTTTTATCACAATGTGAATACTGTATGGTACCAAAATGATGTGCGTACATTGAGTCTTTTCAAGTTCTTTTTGTTTTGCCATGAATAAGCTTTGTTCAGATGAAATCATTGTCTTTTTGATGAGTTTGTAGATTTGTTGTAGGAAGACACACATTTATGTGAAATTGTTACAAAATATTTTCTTGATTTCATACTCATAGCAAATCTGTATTTCTCCCAGGTGCTGAATCAAATTCAACGCTATGACAACTTGATTGGCCCTGTTGTGGATGCCCTCAAGTATTTGACATCAATGTCTTATGATATGCTGACCTGTATCCTTTTTGCCTTGCCAGCTTTGTTATCATAGTTGTTGTCTATATATAGGTTTATAAATGGGCTGAAATATTTGGGAAATTTACTTCTGAGAGTAGGCGCTATGTATTATTTCATGAACAGGCTTAGATTTGTGGATACTATATATTCTTTAAAAAGGGGATACTATGTATTTCCTAGGGGTTTTGTTGTTTTTACATGTCAGATTGTGAGTACTAGTACTTTCTAATTTAGTGCGTTAGGAAAGTATAATCTCTAATTTCACATATAAAAAAAGAAGAGAAAAACAAATTGCAAAGGTTGTAACAGTGTTGTTTTTCCCTTAATCCAAGTGCAGTCTGCATTATTGAGGCTATTGCAAATCCCGAAAAAGACAGGATGAAGACGGATAACATGAACATTTCCATGTGGCTTCAGAGTGAGTCTGTTATACCTTCTGTGTGAAGAATGTGTCTTGTGGGATAAAATGTGTGATTTTAATTTTGAGCTATAGTTTTCTGGTGTTCAGATAATATTGTGAATATCATGTGATTTGTTAAAAACATTTTTTTTGGAGTAAATGGATTAGTGTAGATTATAAAACAATATAGAAGGTAAAAGGAAATGTTGATAAGTATGGCCCAAAGATGATTCTGATTCTTAAATTAGAACATTGTCAAAATGCAGAATAGTCTACTTGTATAAAGAATCATCCAGTTTTCTCTGCCTACTATTGTGATACCTTTAACTACTTCCTATTAGCAAAGATGTTTTATGACTGATGTTTAGCAGAGTAACAGAAGTACCTTTGGGGGGGGGGGGGGTGAAACCAGTCTTGTGTTTACTTTGAATGCAATGTTTGAGTGGAGTTGTGGAAATATCGTTAGCCTGTGGTTATAATTTTACTTATGGTGTGCCCTTTGTCTCTAGTTGATATTTAATTGTTGTTTCATGGAATATGAGGTGTTGTGTCTTTTATAGTATAGATTGTGAAGTGCATAGAGCTTGCTGTTGTGTGGGGATTTGCACTATACAAATGCTATCTATTATTATTATGTGATCCATATAGATAACTGCGTTGTGGAATAACTCGTTGCTTTTTGCTTTCAGGTCTGGCCTCATTTGCCGGAGCAATCTGCCGCAAGTATCAGGTAGAGCTGACTGGCATCTTGCAGTATGTGGCCAATCAGTTGAAAGCTGGCAAGAGGTGAGGACACTAGTTCTGTGACTTCTTGAGTTTTTTGTTTTTAAAAAAACAAATGCAGATGTTTTGTTCCTGGAGTGAACATTTCTCTCACCCTTTTTATTTAAGAAAAATGAGAGTTGTTGTATTTCAATGTTTTATCTGATTGTAGTGAGAGCTTACCATAGTGCTTTAGGTATGATCTCATAGTCTGTCTTTATTTTCAGTTCTGTTCTTGTTTATGAATGGTTGAAAGGTTCTTGTATTTTTTCTTTCCTGTTCCTTTTGTCCTTATGCAGTCTTTCAAAACATTTTTTCTCATCCCATTGTGTTGTAGCTGCAAAACTCTTACTAAATAAAAAAAAAGACTAAAATAGTACGCACCCAATGTGGCTGAGAGAGGTGGGTTTTTTTGGTTTGTCTTGCACTTTCTGTGCTTAAAAAAAAACTAAATATTGATCTGCTTCTCTTGACTCAGACAAATAATGTGGACGATTTGGCAGGTGCTCTAGTGCGGTTCACTCTTTTTTTCCAATCAATTATCTTTCATTTCCATAGTCTCCTCTTTTGTTTCTCTGTATGTTGTTCTCTAGTAACACTTCTAATCTTCTGTGCTTATATGACCTATTTTTGTTGCATGTGCTGTAAAATCTAACTAAAACGAAACTCAAACATATAACAACTAAATGTTCTCCCACAGTACTGACTTGCTCCTGCTGAGAGAGGTGGTTCAGAAGATGGCCGGTATTGAGATCTCTGAGGAGATTACCGACGACCAGCTGGATGCAATGGCCGGTGGAGAGCTCGTCAGACAGGAGGGTTCTTGCATTTGTTTACGAGTTTTGTTACTATGGGTGGTTGGAAGTCACAGCAAATGGGTCTTACTGTTGTTGCACCTTTTGGTGTTTTGCTTATACTTTGCTCCCAACTACGGCTTTTATTTTCACTGCTTCAATTTGACTCGCGTCTGACGAGGGAATGGACTTTACCTCACAAGATCTTGTTTTAGCAGCAGATCAAGGGAGTTGGAAAAGGGCCAGTCTATTTCCAGTTGATCATAAACAAAAACACAGCTGTTAGATATACACAAACACCCCCCCCCCCCATATATGCGCATATTAGATGCCTACACTCACAAACAGAACCATGGTTACACACCCATTATATGAATTAACAATTTTCATTGATAATAATGTTTATGTTGCAATCTGCCTCTCTCACTTTCCTCAGGGCAGCAACTTCTCCCAAGTGCGCAACACGAAGAAGTCGTCAACGCGCCTGAAGGACACACTGCTGGAGCATGACCTTGCCCTGTCTCTGTGTCTCCTCATGGCCCAGCAGCGAGACAGCACCGTGTTTGCTGAGGACGCCAACAAGCATCTCAAGCTGGTGGGGAAGCTTTACGACCAGGTCTGTTGTTGGTTTACAATTTTTTTATTTCACATTGTAACGAGATCAAGAATAACTGGTAAACTTGGAGAACCTGACCCCACCCCATTTTGTCTCATTCCCTCTGTTGTTTCTGTCTTTCTTTCTTACTTTTCCCTATACTGAATTGCTGCTATTGTGTCGTTGTTTTAAGTTTGACCGAGAACCTTACTATGTTTACCTTTTTGAAAACAGCAAATGTTGTCTTTGCTCTGAATGCAACTTTTTGGTTTTTTTTATTCCAGTGTCAAGACACCCTTGTCCAGTTTGGGAGCTTCTTGTCCATGCAGCTGAGTACGGAGGAGTTTGTGAAGCGACTGCCGGCTGTGGACGTCTTGCTGTCTACGTTTCATATACCACACTCGGCAGCTTTCTTCCTCTCACGGCCACTCTATGCACATGCTATCAATGTAAGGATGCCTCTTTTCTTGTGTGGTTTTGATGAGAATTAAGTTCTTAAGGATTTGTTTCCGGTGATTTGTAACAGAGATTTGTTTGTGTTGTCCTAATGATATATCGTTATTATTGTTTAAAAAGTTATTGACTCAATGTGAAAAGCATATTTTCTTGCAATAGTGCTGATATTTTTTGTTGCTTTTTTATCATGCTAGAACTGACACTTACCTCATAAATCAAGAGTCATTTGTTTGTAATTTTCAAAGTACCTCTATCAGGCTGTGTGAGAAATTCTATATTTTGTTCTTATGTACATGACAAAAGTTACTTGAAAAAATGTGTAGGGTTCAGTACTTGCTTCATTACTTAGGAACATTGCTTTCATAATAATTGTTTCTTTTTGATCCCCTTTTTTCATCCATAATATAGCCAAATACAGAAACTAAACAATTACAAAATGTCCTTGAGAATTAAAGATGAGTGCTTTTCCCAGCAGGCTGCTTTCAAACGAGGAAGAAATGACATTATTATAAAGATTACATTTGTGAACACCATGCATCAAGCCTGCTGGTAAGAACAACTATACTTTTAAATATGATACATAAGCACTGAGAAGTGTGCAACCGCTGCGCTGAAGAAGTAGTTACCCAACATGTTTCTTTCAAATGAGGAAAGTTATATTGGTAGCAAATTTCATTTATGACTGAGCTATGTTGGGCCTGCTGCTAGTGAAAATAAGCGTACCTGCAAATATGACAACATTGACACTGGGTAAATATGTGACCAATGTTACAGGTCAAGTATGACGAACTGAAAAAGTCTGAGAAGGCAGAGAAAGCCAAGTCCAAGACCAAGTCTGACAGCAAGGTCAGTAAAGAACTTTTTTCTTTCTTCTCCCTTCTGCAATGTGTTCTCAACATTCTTTATACCTTGTTCAACACCTGAAGATGTGCTGTTTAAGGGCTGTTAAAAAGAGCTTAACTCACTGACGCTGTATCCTGAGACATTCTAGGGACTGGCCGATGACCCTCTGACGCCGGATCCAGTGACCCCCCACGGGACCAGCTTTATAATTTTTTCACACTTTTCGTAATCCCGAGAGCGCCTCAGGGATTCGTCATCAGCGCTAGTGCATCCATTTGTTTCGTTTTGTGCAAAGTTTTGCGGAAATAGGGGTAGGACTTATTTTAGTGCGAACTTTTAGGTGATATCACTCTGGATAACTTACAAGCGTCAGTTTTGGGGAAAATAGCTGCCCCTATGCTGACTTAGAGAGAATGTGTACGCAGCAAAACTAGCAACATTTTAAATGTTTTCAATGAGTCTAGTTTGTCGGAAAATGAACTTGGCGATCCTAATGATCCAGAATTTGTGCCCGAGAGGCGCAAAAGGCCTGATAGTGATATTTCTGTTAGTAAAGGTGTGACTTAGTGTAAGTAGATCTGGTGTGAGTAAAGGGAAGGGTAAAGCTTCTAAAAAGTTCTTGAGAAAACCAAAATTCATGTGCTTTTTACAAATTCAAAGTATAAAAGATACAGCTTTCAAATTTGTTTTATTTGAAAGAACACAAATTTCTCTTACTTTTGTTAAAAGGTCAGAGCAATTGAACAATTTTGAGTAAAGTTATGATTTTTAAAAATATCCATGAAAAAACCTGTCTTCAGGGTTTGTGTGCCTCGCGAGACCTCAGTCTTCAGTGAGTTAAACTTTGTTATTCATACAGATTTTACAGTTCGGTGACCCTTATCCTAAACTTTTAAAGGGCAGGCAACAACATGTATACTATGAAATTTAGAAATGTGTCTTTCTGATTTGTGTTTGATGGTTCAAATGCGCTGCCACATTGCCTTTGGTGTGCTCCAGGTTGGACAGCTGCTATGTCCTTAAAGAGTCAACACTTTTTATTTTGGATGTACTATAAAGCTTGTTTTTTTCGATGTCTCATGAATAACTTGCCGAACCCTGATTATTTTTAGCAGCTGACAGTCCTTGTCTCCTCATTTTGGATTAGTTTTCTTAGTATTAAATCTTACATAATTCTTCTATAGTAGCAGAACCTAGTTTCTATATTCGATATTGATTGTTGCAATTGCTTTGATAAAAAATAACCCAAACAAATAAAGTTCATTGACTATGTGTGAAGTAATCTCAGGTTCAAATTGAAATTATATTTTCAAAATTTATTTTAGTATGTAAGTGTTACAGACTTGTACTTTCCACCTGTAAATTCTAAGCTCCCCTCCCTTCAGCAGTTACAGTAAGCCAGGACTGTCTTTGTCTTTTCAGATCCAGTTTTATATTGATGCCTCTGAGGAAGTAATGCATCCTATTGTGGAGGCTATTCAACCAGTATTCTCTTCAAAGATCTGGGATGACTTAACGTGAGTAGAGTCAGAGACAAGTTGCCTTCAAAAAGGGAACTTTCCATTATGTATTTTTTCTTCATCTGTATTGTCAATGAAATGTGGACGGCAGTCTTTACTTTTAACAGATATTTTTTAATTCTGATAATGCTTTTTCCTAAATGATTAACAAAAATGATGACGACTGTGGAACGTTTATGTTTTAATTTCACAAAAGTGTTAATTTGATTTGTTCTGTGTGTTTGAATTTTTATTAATGGAGATGGATGATGATAGCAATGTTGACGATGATTATCATGATGGTAATGATGCATGTATTATCCCCAGACCTCAGTTCAGTATCATGTGATAATGGTTCATTGGTGGTTGATGATGATGATTGTGTAAAGGTGATGATAATGAAATGATGGTGCTGATAATGATGATGATAATGATGATTTAAGTGATAATGTTGATGATTTCAACTCTCTTTGCTTCCCCAGGCCTCAGTTCTACATCACATTCTGGTCGCTGTCCATGTATGACTTGTATGTGCCCACTGCTGCCTACCAGAAGCAGATACAGCTGCAACAGAGCCAGATCAAGGCTATTGATGACAACAGAGATATGGTGAGTGGGTGAAAGGGAGGAAGAAGAGGGTGGGCAGGGAGAAAGCATTAATTGAGAGATATGCTAATAAGTTGAGAGATATGCTAATAAGTTGGAGGGAGGGAGTGTGTGGAGAAAATGAAGAGGGAGGAATATGCTAGTGAGTGGGAGGGAGGGATGCAGAGAGAGTGTTGGAACAGCATCAAGTGGAAGATATGATGAGTGAGAAAAAGATGGAGGGAGGGAGAGAGATTTAATAAAGAGAGTGCTGAGATAGTGTAGAGTAAGAGATATGGTGAGTGAGAAAGGGAGGGGGATGGAGGGGAAGAGAGAGGTAGGGAAGAAAAAAGCAGATTGAGAGATATGGTGAGTGAGACAAATGGAGGAAGCGAGGAAGAGAGAAAGGACAGCGAGTGTCAAGATAACTTAGCTTGAGAGATGTGAGTGAAAGGGAGGAAGAGAGACGAGAAGAGAGAAAGCAGAAATTTTGAGTTGCATTCACAATTTCAGGAGATTTTGGTGAACTGTTTTATCTTGTGATTCACAATTTCTTTACCAAAGTGAATTGTTTCACATTGTCCTGAGGAAAAGATGTAAGGTTATAGATTTCAGTAATGCTGGTGAGGAGAATTTCATGTAAAGATATTTTACTCATTCATCGCTTTTATGGGATTTCTAAGGCAAGGGGCTATAGAATTCTTTTCATTGTTATCATCCTGCTTTGTCCCGCGGCATATTGACTATTATGTCATGGTTTTTATTCCGGATATTCCAACAAGCATCAGATGTTACAGACATTACTGGTGAGTTAAAAATTTTTCTCTTATTGAAATGTTGCAGCCATCCAACAAGAAAAAGAAAGAGGTGGACAGATGTAATATTCTGATCGACAAACTGGAGGACGAGATGAAGAAACAGGCGGAGCACGTGGCCAGGGTCAAGGCAAGGCTGGAGGAGGAGAAGGAACTCTGGTTTCCAACTGGTGGGTGTTGGAATAGTTGTAAATGTTTTACAGCCCCTTTGATACTATTTAGATCACTCATAAAGCTGGCTGCTTCGGCCCGGCCTGTCAGGGCCAATAAGAGTGGGATACTGTGTCTTAGCAGACAGGTGGTTAAATGACTCAATAAAATACCCCCCGCCCCCCATCCTCACAATGGAATCAAACTCAAAGTCACATCATCTATGGACATATTTTTAAAAATGTTGTGAAAATGTATTTTCTTTATAAATGCCTCAGCAGCTGAAAGTTACGATAAGTTTTAGCTTCACAAAAGGAGTTCAACCTTTGTCTCTTTATTACTAATGTGATTGCTCTGTTTAAGCTGTTGTTATTAATTTTTTTGTTATGTGTTCTGCTGCAGGCACCCTGAAGTCAGAGATGACCACCAACCTGCTCCAGTACTGCCTGTTCCCTCGGTGCTGCTTCACCGCCAGCGACGCCGTCTACTGTGGACATTTCATCAAAGTCTTGCACGAGCTGAAGACGCCAAATTTCTCCACCTTAATCACATACGACAGGGTGCGCTATAATTTCTCTTTTTAGGGTATTTGTTGGATTGTTTTTGTCATGTGTGTCTGTATTTGTGTGTACATTTTTCCCTTTTGTAAAAGAAACAAATTCTTTTTAAGTAGAGAAAGTGGGTGCTTCAGTGGAATGAAGATACAGTCAAACCTGTGTAAGACGGCCACCCATTGTCAAGGAGAAAAGTGGCCGCATAAGACAGGTGGCCGTCTTAGGCAGGACTGATCAAGATAAAGAAAACAAACCATTCCCATCTGAGGCCCCAATCGAAAGTAGCCCCATTGTTGTTGTCTTTGTTGGTGTTGTTGCTGTTGGTTTGTATTTCGTTTGTAATTTTTATTTTGTCACTGATTTTGCACAATGGTGGCAATAAAACGAAATGTATCAGACAAGGAAGACCGAGTGCCATGTTAAAACAAACACATGGGTCGCCACCACTCGGAGAACGAGGGACGCTTCTGTAACAAGTTCATGTTGACGTCCTTTGTTACTTTGTTACAGACTGGGTAAACAGTAACCACTCATCTCACATACGATTTGTGTAGGAGTTCTGGGCGGGGCTTATGGGTTATGAGGGATCACACGCTAACTCACCTGCAGCTGAAAATTGGTAGCTATTGGTCAACAGTGGGAGGGGCCTACGCAACATGATCGGTTGGAGGGACTACCTAACAACAACGACAGGGGATTGAATTATGACGGCTCGCCCACAACGCCAGGGGCCAATGCACAATTTATGACAAAACGTAATGGATTCACTAAGGTGACCGTCTTAGACAGGTTTTATTGCTTAGTATTATAGGGGTTGTGTGTTAAATTTTTGTGGCCGCGGCCGCGTTGGACAGGTGCCCGTTTTACACAGTTAAATTATATAGAAAAAATGCAAGGGGGGAAATGGAAAGTGGCCGTTTGTACAGGTGGCCGTCTTATAGAGGTGGCCGTCAGGGCAGGTTTGACTGTACTTGTTTCACTTCTCGTTTTATTTTGTGTCCTTTTTGTAAACTTATGTTTCCAGCTCTTTATTAAACATTATTTTTAGTGCATTGTACTCTTTCGTTGCAACAGTTTTGCAGGGTTTTTCTAGAGACGGCGCTGAAGACATTTCATTATTGTTTTCGTAATTATGCTAATTTTTATTGTTATAAATGTAATTTTCCCCCCCCCCATTTAGATTGGAGATTTTTAGATTTTCTCTTTCTTCTGTTTATTTTGCTGGCATTGATGAGTAAATTCATTTTGTGTAGACTGAATTTCTTTTTCTCCCAAATTCTCACTGGACTTGTGTGTTTTCATGTCATTAATTTACCATTTTGCTGGTGGTTGGCAGGTGTTGTGGTGTGGTTTTTCTACTCATTTCGTATCAAACATGTATCATATTCATCTCTCCTTTTATTTCTTTTTTAATTACTCTCCAGTAACACCTTTAATTTTTGGCACTTATATGACCTAATTGTGTTGCAAATGCTGTAACGCTCGCTAAGACTAAAAAAAAAAATTTTCATTTTATGTGAACAGGTGTTTAATGACATCACGTATACTGTGACGAGCTGCACAGAGAATGAGGCTCACCGCTACGGCCGGTTCCTCTGTAGTGCTCTGGAGACCATCATGAGGTGGCACAGCAGTCCAGCCATCTATGAGGAGGTAACTTGTCAGTCGTGAATCTGTTTAAGTCCTCTTGTTGCTGGTTTAATTTGCTGTTCATTTCTTCCTATGGTGAAGTGGGAAACACTTGGAGTACCTGGGGGGGGGGGGGGGGGGGGAATATGCTGCTGGCAGGTCCTACTAATTCCTTCCCCTTTGTCATATGTTTTGTTTCTTTTTTTTTCCTGCACTAAATGGCTCTTATTGCATATGTATGTGAAAACTGTTTAATTTTTGGGTTGTCCTTATCTGTACCTCGTAATGATTGATATGTGTATGTGTGTGCAAAGAATAAGGAAAGCCAAGTAAAAGCGGAAAATGTTTACGACTTAAATGTCCCGTTCAAAAAACATAAAACTTCATTTCTCAAAACTGTAAAAGAGGGTGGTTGGAGTACACCATTGGTAGTTCCTTTTTTTTTTCTCTCTCTTCTATGTTGTTTCTATCTTGCTTTTGTCGTCTACTGAATGATTGCTTTTGTGTCTCTCTGCTTACCTTTGACTCAAGCTTCCACTGACACGTTTGTTTCCTCTTTTCTCCTCCAGGAGTGCTACAACTTCCCAGGCTTCCTGACCGTGTTCCGCAAGGGCACCGACTTGACCAACAAGATGGACAGACTGGACTACGAGAACTACAGACACGTGTGTCACAAGTGGCACTTCAGGCTCACAAAGGTTTGTTTTTTTGTGGTGTGGTTTGAAGGGCCTGTGTTTTGAGGTCTGCTATGTTTGGACTGGGGGTATTTGAGACGTGTGTCACAAGAGACACTTTAGGCACACTAAGTTCCTCTTGCGGTATGCTGCTATGTTCTGTGGTCTACTATATTTTGTTTAATGGAATGCTATGTTTTGTGGCCTGTTATGATTTCTGTCATATTTTGTGGCTTTCTATATTTAAACTAAGAGAAGTACAGACACATGTTGCGAATATCTCCCTAGGCTTACTGAGCTCTGTTTTTTTAATGGTACTGTATTAGTTTGGGGGAACACAGCTCAAAATTGTACTTTGCCTGCTTGCAGATGTCTTTGGCAGTATGTCTGTTATGATAATAGATAGCATTTGTATAGTGCAAATTCCCGCTCAACAGCAAACTCTATGCTCTTTACAATCTATGTTATTACTCCAGCAGACCTGATAGCATTCTGAAAGAATCTCAACTTCCTGGGAAGCTTACAATGTAAGCTGCGCGCTAAAACACTCACCTACTGACAAGATATTTTGCTGACTATAGCTGGGTACTCATTTCCACCTGGGTGAAGTTAGTAAATTTCATGGAAAGTGGCTTTCCCAAGGACACAACCTCTGGCCTGTCTGTATCATTGGCTGAAAGCTGGAGATTACTGTGTTCAAAGTGGCTGTTTTGGGAAAAAAGAAATTTGATGGCAAGATGTAAATAGATCTTCATGTTTGCCGACTATCGTCTGAAATCCAACAATCGCGACCCGACTAGCGACCCGGCCGATGCTATTGCCAGGCCCACCTTCAACATTATCATTTAAATCATCAGGTGGGCCTAGCAATAGCATCGGCCGGGTCGCAAACGCAGACGTCGGCAGTCGCCACGTAAACAAAAGTGCAGACAAAGCCGACCTGAGAAAAAAGGGGTGCTGGTCAATGGTGCGTAGTGCGAGGCCTGGCCTATTGCCAGCACCCCTTTTTTCTCAGGTCGGCTTTGTCTGCACTTTTGTTTTCGTGGCGACTGCCGACGTCTGCGTTTTCGACATAATTGTCGCAACCTGAGTAGAAATACAAATATGAAAAAGGACGACGATGTAAATTAGCTCTACTTTCAATTTTGTGCTCTAGTGGCCATTTTGAATTTCGTCTGTTGACCGATTGTTTGGATGTGGATTCATTCAAGGCCTACTCACTTGTTCTACTAGATCTAGATTTATATAGATCACTATAGACCTCTCTGGAGGATTCATATTCCAATTTTATTGTGTCAAACCCTATTTTAGGTTGTGCTGTAGTGTTAATGTTGATAAAAGAGCATTTCATCAGGTGCGTTAATCATTAGACTCTGCTGATTCCCTCTTTCGGATGCGGATTTCGTTAAAGGCGTATTCCTATTCACTTGTTCTACTAGATCTAGATTGATCTAGTTTACTAAATGGTAGAAGCGGGCATGAGAAGAGCCGAGTACTCGTTTCTTGCGAGAAATGCCCTTCCCGTCGCTGCCTGGCCACTAAACTGCTGGCTGGTACCGAGAAGTGATATCGCTCGTTGGCTTGACACGAGTAACGAAGAGAGTGAGAGGTGTTGACGGAAAGAGCGGCACAGCCAGTGAGAAATTACACGCAGACAGTGTTACCCATCATCGTGCATCCTGTGTCTGAAACTGAAAGGGAGGGGAGAGGGTGACGAGGCAGGTGGGGCTCAGGCCAAGCCAAGAACCTTACTGTATAAGGTGTGCGCAGAATTTTCAGACAATCTAGTTGAGGCTCACGTGCAGGTCTATGTCAACAGGTAATAATTGGACACTGATGCAATGGCAAAAAAATGAGGCTGATTGCTTTGATATTTACAGATATGATGGAATGTCATTTAAATGCCTCAATGTTACTGACAAAATGTTTTATGGTACCTTTTATTTTTTTTAACGGAAAATTCAGAGTTTTGTTTTTTCTGTCTTTTCAGTCTGTCATCACGTGTCTGGAGTCAAAGAATTACAGCCAGATCCGGAACTCCCTTATTGTCTTGACCAAAGTAATTATGATAAAATTGTTCTTGTGGTTTGGTTTTGGTGTGTGTGTGTGTGTGTGTGTGTGTTTGTGTATGCACGTGTGCACCCATGTGTGCGCGTGCCCGCATGTGGAAAAGCCTAATATAGTCTGCTTTTCCGTAGCTGTTTCAGTCGTAAGATATGTATATATTTACGCAAGTTTAGGCCGAGTAGAGCAAGTCAAAAATGTTTGTCCATTATAAAAACAATCTAAACTTCTTTTTGTTTCTCAAGAATCTGTCGCCACCTTATTATTGAAAACATAGAGCAGAGGAAGTGACAAACATTGTTTGACAGAATGTAACTTTGTTTTAATGGAATGCGCTCAGAATTTTCAATGATTTTATTTTCCAGATTTTGCCACACTTCCCCCGCATGACCCAGATTGGGATGGCTATTGAGAGACGTGTGGACAAGCTCAGTAAGGAGGAGAAGGACAAGAGACCAGACATTTACGCTTTGGCTATCGGGTGAGTTGATGTGTCGTCCCATATCCTGGGCATGGCTTGCAGTCTGTGGGTATGTTTTTAGAATTTACTTATTATTATTGTGTTATGATTTGGCATTTGTCACAATAATTCTTAATTTTTTTTCTGGAATGAAAGTTTTGATGATCCCATGGATGTGGTTCACTGTTTAAGTCTGAATGCCTTACTTGTAAAGGGAAAAATAGGAGAATCCAAGAATGAGCAGTATGCCAATTGTGGGTTGAGATGTGTTGTTCTGGAAATCTTATTCTGAATAAATTATCTTTTCATTATATCTCTGTTTACTATTATTCTTTTGGTTTCTTCTATTTTAGAAATGTTTTTTGCTTTATGACATTGTCTGCAAATATTCTGTTAGTTTCTTTTACTAGAGAAAGATTTTCTTTCATTATTCGATTGTTTGCAGATACTCTGGGCAACTGAAGAGTAAAAAGGTGGTGTGGGTCCAAGAGACAGACTTCCATATCAAAGAGGTATGTACATGTATTTCTCGAGGGACTAAAAATGTCTTGACATGATTCTGATCCCAGATTCTGAATTGGTATTATGGTAGTTGATATGATACAGCCAGGCTGATGACTGAACACTAGTTTTGACAAGAGCTGTGCTGAAATTAAAAGAAATGGAGCCTACCATATTCAAAGTTCCAGACAACGGTGGAAAATATTGCTTTGTTTGATTTTGTGGTGCAAATTAGTTTTCCCACTCCTGTTCTATTATATCGTGAAAGATGTTATAATGGAAGTTCAAAGTGGCATTTCTGAAGGACTGTCTTTCAAAGAAATCGAGAGCTCTTCAGCTAGATATTGGAAAAGACGTCAAATGATATTTGAGGATGTTGACGTGCTTCTTTTCATGTTTGTTTTGCTGCAGTTAAGGTTTACTTTGCAGGCATGGGACGATAAAAATTTGTCTTTTCATGATTCTAAATTGGTACTTTAGCTTGCTCCGTTTCAGTGGTTGGAAGTTACCAGTATTTGGTATTGGTTCTTTACTTTCCTAGTGCTGTTCCTGTGTTTCTTACTTTTTCTCTTCAGGAAGTGGCTATTAACACACCAATGATCATTTCTGTTCTGAAAGTAAGGTCTTTCCTAGCACTGAAAGACATTTATCATGTCAATGTGTTTCTCTTGAATTCAAACTTGAACTGTGCTTTCCTGCCTTAAGTGTCCACAATGATATCAATGTTTCTCTCTTTACTGAAACACAAAGCTCTTTTCTGACACCAGATGAGAGCTAATATATTAACATCTCTGACTAAAAAGCGTGCTCTGATCTTGTTGTTTTCTACGACTCTTCCTCTAGCCCAAGAAGCCTGCATCCAGCGCGGCTCAGCAACAGGCACAGCAGCAGAAACAAGCGGAGTCAGCGTCCTCTGGTGCCTCAGGGAAAAAGGGAGACGGAGACGGTGAGAATATTGGGATGTTGAGTTATTTAAAACTGTGCTTGACATTATTGAACCCACATCTATGTTGTGTTTAAATCTAGAGTTTTAATTTTTTTTTTAATGTTCACATCATTCATTGTTTGATTAATTCTTTTTTTCCCCTAGAAACCCAGCTTGCTGTGAAATAATTTTTTAAAGTGTACTTCAATTACATGAACATTTTCTTGGGTCTTGTATGAGTTCAATTTTTTGCAGGAAGAGCCAAAGACATTAAGCAGGAGTCTGGAGGGAAAGAGGACAAGAAAGACAGAGGACAAAGTGGGGATGTGGAGAGAAAAGAAAAGAAGGAGAGAGGGGCTGAGAAGAAGGAGTCCAAGGAGAAGAAAGATGCCAAGCGTTCCAGCGGTGTTAATGAGAGCAATGGAGTGAGGTGAGTGGAGGCTTGTCGTGTTTAGTTATGTGTGGGCGATTGATGTGTGTCACTGGTTGGTCCTACTTCTTTACTCTCCCTCTGTTGTTTCTGTCTGTTGTGTTAATGTGCTTCTCTTTATTTCCGTAGACCTGCCAAATATTTCAATATAATTGGAGCTCTTTCTTTTTCTTTTGCCTGTAGAAGAACCTTGATCGGAGTTGCATGAAATCCGATTTTGTCTCTTGAATGCCTTTTCTGTCAAGTTGTATGCGACTAATGGAAAAATAAGTGAGAATGCACATTTTTATTTGAGTTGATTCGCAATATTTGTGTGACAAATTGTAAATGACGTGAAAATACGCACTTTAATCGACAATCTGACTTTGGCAAATATACCTGTATTGCAAATACATGTGTGTCACAACACGGTAGAATCAGGCATGATCATAAAGCCTGTCTATTTGCCTGTTTTTGATGAAAACAATACCCATTTTCCTTGGATACATGTTCAGATATTTGCGATTGAAGGAGGTGGGGTCACCTGGTTTCAGAGGTAAAAATAGCGAGAAAAAGGCCGCCGAAGTAGACGGCAGGGTCAAGTGGATGATCTAAATTGTGGGCTATATACACTTGCATTTAAAAAGAATTGTTGTATATTTTAGAAAGTAACGTTATTGTTGTTTTGCTTCCTACTAGTGCGAAGAAAGAAGTGCTGAACAGCCCAGATGGTCAGCATGCCTCGTCTCGCCAGACGGCGATGGAGATGGAAGAAGACGGCGCGAGACACCCGCACCAGCACCGAGAGCAGAAGCCAGTGAAAGAGGAAAAGCCAAAGAAAAGTGAGCGCAAGGACCGAGAGGCCAGCAAGCTCGCCAAGGAGAAGGCACGGGAGGAGAAGAGGGAGAGGAAGGAGCGCGAGGCAGCGGCGGCCATGAAGGAGGAAGAGCGCCACGTGATGGGCCGGCCCCTGGACCATGAGAGGGATGACCGAGGAGGGAGTGGAGGTCACATGTCCTCCTCATCTGGCTCCTCGCATCGGCGGAGTGCAGAGGTCTCCCCGAGGCATGTTGATGATCGAGGTGAGAAAGAATTGTTAAAGCATTAGGTTTCCAATGTATAGATAAAGGACACTTTTCTTTTTCATTCATTGAAAGATGCTTATTGAACTTCTCAGAGTTACTTCTTGTTCTTGCAACAGTAAAGGTTTGTAATTTTGTGGAATGTGCAAAACATTTGTAAAAATCTTCACTGCATGGTTACATGTCTCTGTATATTTCTGGTTACGTTATAGATTCTCAACGGTCTTATCTTGGTCATATCTTGTCTTCTTCCATAATTTTTGTGCAAAGCTTACTCTCTGCCTTGGTGTTCCTGGCAGATAGATTGCAAGTTCTGTTGATGGGTCAGGGATGCTACTTGTGGGACGGCTTCTTTTCTCTCCCTCTGTAGTCTGTGTCTGTCCACCTGACTTTTTCCATGCACTGTTTGACCTTTATTGTGTTGATGTACTTCTCTCTCAACTCAATCGAACAAATCAGTCAGTCGTAAGTCAACTTGAACTTTGTGCGTCCGCTGGTGTGGTGTGCTGCTTCTTTCCTATTGAACATCTATCATCTTTATCTCTCACCCCTCTTTTCTTTGTGTTTACTCCAGTAACACCGGTAATCTTTGGCACTTGTATGACCTAAATGTGTTGCTAGTGCAGTAAAACTTCAACTTGAATTGAATTTTTGTTAAAAGCTTAAACTTTAATAGATTCTTTTGTTTTTTCCTCAGAGTCAAAGCGCCGAAGGCTGGAGGCTGGGGCCACATCTCAGGTTAGTATTCAAGTGTAATGGAGTTAAAATCTCACTCGCAAGTCGATCGTTTTTCTCGGACGACGCCCATGACAACTGCTACAGGCTGGACTTGACGTGACCTGAAAGTTTAGGAAGATGAGGCTCCCCCCTTCCCTACCCCACTACCACCATCCTCTACTCGAAGGGCTCCCAGGGCCACAGAAGATGTCAGGACAAGGGGATCTAATGGACTGAGGGATCCTTGCAGTCTGATGGCCATAATGTGTGCCTAAGTTTTTTGGAAATGCAAGGAAGGGATTTAATAGTTTGGTGGTGACGAAAGGAGAAAGTGGGCAAGTTGAATAGTTGGAGATTTGGAGAATGTCTGGAAGATGACTCAGTTCCCTCGAATGGAAGCACTTATCTGAAGGAAAACTTGCATACGTTTGGTAAAGATTTAAAAGTGAGGCAATGATGAGGATCACTCTGAAGGAGCCATGTAAAACCAGGATTTGATTTGTCATACTGGAGGATCCTACCTGAGGCATGCAGAATGAAGATTGAAGGGTATGCGGACTCGTAACAAATCCTGCTGCAATTTTTTGTCAAGATGTGGTCAAGACACAGTAGGAATAAGTACACTGCAAAGCAGTCAAGAAGCGACTTGGATACATTGCAAGGGAGGAGAGTCAGAGCGTTCAGGAGGATAGAAGTTGTAGCACAGTATATCGGTACTTGGCAGTCTAGGCTTCTACAAGTGGAAGATGATACCTTTGGGGTTTACGTTTCACGTCCCTTGACATGCTATCTACTGAGTGATACCACAGACGCAGGAGTTGTGGGAACCCAATTACAAAAGGACACTGAGTTGCTTTCAGGAGACACATTGTTAATCATGCCCAGTGATCGGAGTTCAAAACATTAGCCTGTGTGGCTGTAACTTCCTGAATAATGCTCCACACCACACCGTAACATACCATCAGACACACCTGCCATGATGATCAGAGGATCTTGAAAGCTTTTAAACTTAGGAGAGGACCCAGATCTCACTATGGATTGTAGGAGGAGTATCAGTGCACCAGGTACCGCCCCTGAGGATGTGGATGAAGACCGGTGTCTGGGATCTGAAATACTGAGGGGGTTATTGTGTTGCCCAGCCTGGAGGACCAACTCAGTCCATTTTGCTTTTGTGCAGCTACAAAGAATCTGGAGCCTCACTGACACTCGTTAAAGGAAAGCAGATGATGCCAGGAAGATGGCTCACTACATACTTACTCCTTGAGCCAATATATAGATTTGCCAAAGAGGATTTGACATGAGGATCATGGATACGGTGGGGCGTCTGAACTGGATGTTGGAACACCATCGGCTTTTTTTCCATCTGCTTACAGAAGCTCTTCTGTTTTGGTGATTGAGAAAATTTTTTATAGGTATAATGTCAGGGTCTTCAACAAAATAATGATGGCCACATGGGCCTGCTGACCACAGAGCTTACCACAGGCTATGTTAAAAGTGCTTGTGTGGAGTCGCTTATAAAAATTCCCTTGTAGAAATCCTTTTAAGCCCACAGAGCTTGGAGTACAGTCTTATAGACGTGAGGAAAGAAAGTGTATTGTACTCACCTTCAGGTACCTCGGTTCCCAGACATGGAAAGCAGGCCCTGCTGAAGTGGTGCTGTTTTCCACATGGCCACCAGAAGGGAGTGAAAATGTCTTTGATGCTCAGCTCACAACTCGCTGCACCGTCTTTTTGCTGTTTCGACCCCCTCTGAGACTTTGGCCCCATATCGATTTGCATTGTTGAATTATATCAAAATTTGTTGAAATGGTGGTAGTGGGGAACAAGCCAGGAGAAGGTTTGCGAGAGGAGAAGCTCTGACACAGCTGTGGGGAAATCTGTTGTCTGATAAAGTCACGCTTGAAGACAGGAATATTTAATACACGGATGATGAAATGCCCCATTGTCTTTGTTTTATCCTGTCTGCTTAGGAAGCATACTCATAACCAAAAATACTGGAATACAGGAGAGAAATATTATACCACATAATGTCTATCAAGCATCAGCTTTGGATACAGATCAAGAACTGGCCAGGATCAGGCGGGATAGTGGCATGACCAGTTTGAAGACAAAGGAGAGTTGTACAGACGGGCTTTCAGTTCAAGCAGGAAACAGTGGAACAAAAATGCTACATATATGGCTCCTTATGTTAGAGGATGATGGTAAATAACAAGTCCAAACTTTCTATCCCTGGAAACATGTCAGTTGCAAAGTCAAAAAGCCACATACTTTGTTAAAGTACTGGTTGAAGCCTCCCAGATGGTAGCAATCAGCTTTACCAGCTTGATATTACGTATGCTTTCAATTGAGGTCCTCTCCCGGTTTGGCTGCTCGGAAAAATTTGAGGAACTGTTGGAGTGATGACTACAGGCAAAAGCTTTGGAGTTGTAAAGTACTGGAACAAAATTGCTGAATATTTGATGATCTTCTTTTGCACTGCACTGGTGAGACACCCATGGAGAGTGACAGCATGAGAAAGCCCGTACCAAGAGAAAGCTGGGAGTTTTAATAGCATCTCTCTGAGAGAAGGATGACCTGGCTGGTGAAGTGGAGGATCATGCGCTGAGTGTGGAACCTGGAACCAAACTGATTCCTGAGTTGAGCAAGTATACATTAATAACCTGTTTATGTTTGGAAGTGGCTGAAATTATGTTTGGATCTTGGAAGCAAACCTGCAAAGTTTTGAAAGAGACCATGATTAGAGTTCGCCTCTATTGCTCATCCGGAGAATGAGTGGAGTTGATAGTGTCCTTGATATTCCAATCTATGCAATAAGTATCTCAAAGGGACATTGCCCCAAGCCTCTTCCCTGAATGCTGTATCAAAACTAACAGCTCCTCAGTTTGAACATCAAGCGTACTGATGTGCAAGCAATCCTCACAATCTGAAATGATGGGTGACTTTGTCTGTAGGACCTGATACCCTGAGCAGAAATATCCTTTCCGTTGAACTATGACCCTGAAAAGTAGTACGACCTCGAGTGCGGGGAAGAAGAGGAGCCTCGGGCAACACATCTGTCTACAAGTGGAGCTGTGACCGCTGGATTGTCTCGCTGCAACGTCGATGATGTGGAGTTTTGGCGCTGATTACAAGCCGGAGAGAATAGCTGCTGTCAGCACGGATTGCAGGCCACCCAGGTACTGAATGTCTCGCTTCTACAACAGATGTAAAGTTGATGGATGTCAGAAATGATAGTGATGATGAGAACAGGTGCAGAGTGATGTTGTGAACAGGTGCAGAGTGATGTTGTGTGTTGTGTTGTGGTGAAGGTTATGAAGACATCTGTTGCAAGTGAATGGAGTCATAGTGTGAATACTTGAAGGACTTATGTAGTGAATGAGGACACAGGACCTGGGACTTTTGCATAAGTTCTTGTTATTTCACCAAGCGGCTCTCAGTTCAGTCACAAGATTTAAATTTGTAAAGTATTAACCAGTTGGTGAATGTGATTTTGTTGTTGTTTGAAAGTGATGAATCTCATGGACACATATATCGTATTATTTCCAAGCTTCAAATGGCCTGCATGTTTGTGCAGGGGCTATTCTGATCTCGTTTTCCAAGCAGTGTATTTTTCTGCTTTTCTTCTGAATATGCAATACTCGTGTGTTTGTTTTCCTTTTTGTTATATCCAGTAAAAGATAATGCTCATCCAGTGTTTGTTTCAAGAGAGGACTCTGGTTTTTGTGTGTTTTCTCCAACCGTGTCATGAGAAACGTGGGGACCTTTAAGCCTTCATTCCAGGACGGGTTCTCAAGTGTTGTGAAGCTGCTTGTGGTCAGTGTGAGATTTCTCCAGGCCATGGCCTAGCTCACCTTGGCTGTCATACTCTGCTCATCCGTCTCTCATATTTTCGTTTTTGATATATAGATTTGTTTTTTGGGGTTTGTTTTTTTACAACTGTTACTTTTCACTCATTTGTAAGGTGTAAATTTGATGTCGTCAACTTGTCAGAGTTTGACATTTTGCTCAGCTGCAAGAGAATTTCTGAAATTAGATAGAATGCTCTTCCAATTCATCAACTCTCTCGATGACCACTTCCACTTCTGATATTACTAAGCCATTCACGTTAAAGGTATATTTTTTTTGGTTGCCTTTTGCGTGTATGTTTGGTCTCCACTTTGATTTTGATATTTTTATTTTTTTTGCTGGTGACACCAATTATTGATTGTTGATTGGTGGGTAAAGTTTTGTTTTACTCAGAGAAAATCTTATCTTTGTCATTTCTTGATTGAGTGAGAACTTATCTACTGATTGTGTGTGGCCTTAATTTTCTGTGATGTATCCTCCCCCCCCAATTTTTTTTTCTCCAAACATACTTGCAGTGACGAATAATTTGTGCGATTTTTTTACTTTCTTAGACTAAAAGCAGTCGTAAAAGAATTTGAATAAGTCCAGAACGGTTTTAAGTTTTCTATTGACAGAGAAATGACTGTACTGGCGTTTGTGGTTGCAAACAAAAATGTCTCTCTGCATTTATGTTGTGACCCACTCAGTACAGGGTGGCCCTGATAGTCGGGGGCAAATCAGCCCTTCTCCAAAATGATTAAAATGATGGCGGTGGCGGAAAGCATTTATTATCAATCTCTGGTGATCTTATGTGTTTGATGTACTCTTGGAGATGGAGTGGGGTTGGTTTGCTTTTTTCAGGATTTTATATTTATCAATTTATTTTTTTTTGTCAGCCTAGTGGTAATTTATGTTCCTCTGGTGCAACTGCTTTTGTCAGTCTCTTTCCCCCGCAATTTTGGACTGTCTGTACGAGGGCACTGTGTTTTTGGCAGACACTTCATGTGGGTTTGTGTATTTGTCATCATGACAGTTGATCAAAGGGAAAACAGTAGTCAACTGTACCAGCTCAATGTTGCCACCGTCACCGGCTGGCGTCTGTGGTGTAACTGTCGGGGTCTTCACTGGTGCACACAGAAGACAGGAGTGTACATTTTTGTCTTGGGAAGTTATTTTATTGAGGGGTATGGCCATCTCTGTCTGGTTGGATGCTGCATCTGCTCATCTCGGGTTGGCCTTTACAGGCCTGGCCAAAGCAGTTAATCTCGTAAATGAACTGAATAATGTTGATTGGGCAGTAAAATATTTATTACTCGGTCTTGAGAATTTGTGCAGATTTTTACTTCATGGTTATTGTAAATAATACTGAAGGTTGTGGCTTCTTTTGATAACAGTTTCTTAAGTGGACCTGAATTGTTTATTTATGACAGGACTTTCAAACTTTTTAATGTCCCGAGGCTGTGTTGTGTTAGACCATAAGTCCTTTCAGCTTTTTACCTGTCCACAATTTTTGTCTATTTCTTTGTGTGTGTTTGCTTTTAAAGCAAAATCATTGGAACTTGTATATAATCCGTTTCAAAATGATTGGTGTAGAAAAGAAAAATGGCAATGTTCTCTAAACTGCTGATTGTGCTTGGAGAACTGCTTGAACCTTTAATTGTTGTCACTCTGATAATGTTGTGTGTGCACATTTTTTCCCTGTGTCAGCACACGATCTTTGAACCAGAGAATGGATTACTCAAACCAAACGACAGCACTTGTTCTAAGCGAATTTTGCTTTTTACATTGTCTTTTTGTTTTATTATCAAATGGCCCTTTGTCATAGTGCTGTTAACTACTGACTGTCCTCGGTGAAAGTCTTGGTGGGATCTTACAGCTGAAAGTGTGGAAACAGAAATCTCAAAATACTCCTTTGTTTTGGTGTAGAGTATTTCCAGTATGGAGAATACTTTTTTTTAACAACAGGTGGTGGGGTTTTTCTCAGCTTGCTGTTAGGTGTGCAGCCATCAGGGGATAAGTCTTGTATTGTAGGGATGGGAAATAGTATTTGCTACCATCAGGGGAATAGACTAGTCATGTTGGGATAGGTATACTGTTTGCTACCATCAGGGGAAGAGACTTTTATTGTAGGGATGGGAAATGGTATTTTCTACCATCAGGGGAATAGACTAGTCCTGTTGGGATAGGTATACTGTTTGCTACCATCAGGGGAAGAGACTTTTATTGTAGGGATGGGAAATAGTATTTGCTACCATCAGGGGAATAGACTAGTCCTTTTGGGGTGGGTATACTGTTTGCTACCATCAGGGGAAGAGACTTTTATTATAGTGGAGGGAAATAGTATTTGCTGTCATCAGAGGAAGAGGATTGTATTGTAGAAATGGGAATAGTAATCTCTACCGTTTGGGGATGGGGTGTGTGTTTTGTAGAGATGGAATACTGATCGTTGTAGCACTGTAGATTTTGAACTTGCTAAACCACATGGAGGTTGGAATCCAAGTGGGGTCAGGGCTTATTTTGTTTTCTTTTCCTGGAAGGGGTATTTCCTCCCAGGTGGCAATTTGCTGTCAGATACTATCATCTAGTCTTGCAGATACAAATTCAATGATTTCAGGTATGACAACTGAGCAAGATCCCACAGCTTTTTCTTTGCAAGGATGCTCTTACAGTTTTCCTTAAGCCCGACAAATGTGAGTCAGGCTCAGCGACCCACCGGAAAGTGTTTTGTGTTCCCTCTGTGATGAAGTTTTTCCAGTTGGCACATGGCTTTATGGATCATGTTACTTGAGTGTAGTTTGTGTGTGGTTATTTTCTTTATAATTCTGGAAAATGGCCCCGTTATTTGTTTCAGTACAACTTCCTTGGGAGTATTGGCTTTGATTTCGAGAGGAAATTCACGTGGAACAGGCGCAAGGTGTGGATGAGAGTGGGAATTGTGTCAAAGTATTTGTTGTGTGTAATGTCACTTGTTCTCCTTGCTTATTGTTGCGGGTGGTTGGAGGATCCTGCTGGTACCTACTACTTTTCTTTCGCTCTTGTTTCTGTCTGTCTGTGAATCTGTGTCCCCATCTCTTCTCCCTGCTCTGAGTAATTCATTAATTGTTGTCTTGTTGATCATGTGCTTCTGTTTGCTCAAGATAAACTCGTTATTTTCCATTATGCCGTGATGTTTTATTATTGCTTAACTTGTGGCTGATAGATGCTGTGCTGTGGTCTGCTCTGTCTGCTTCTTTTCAACCTGTTACTTTTGTCCTGTTCTGTTCCTTAAGGTTTTTGTAGCAGTGACTTGCTCTAGGTGACAACTCTACCTCTTAATGTTAAACAGTATTGTTTTACCTAACAAACTCATACTAAGGAAAGACATTATGTACTTGCTTGTGAAATGTTCAGTTTCTTGACTTAAAAAAGAATTGATAGAGAATGAAATATGCATTTTACATTTTCACTTTATTGATTTTTTACAAAACTGTTTCAATGGAGATGCCATCCTTTTTTTCCCCTTTGCTTCGTCTTTTCTCTCCTTATTTTCTTGTGACTGTATTTGCCATTTTGTGCCATGTTCCACACTCTGTAATTATTTCTGTATGACATGAAAAATTGTTTGATAATTTGGATGACTTATCTCTCTCTCTGTGCTCTACTACTGGTGTTTTACTCTCTCTGCGGTTGTGATATATGATCTGAGGGGGTTGGAAGATGGTAGCATGCCTTATTTGGCTGTCATTTTTTAAATACTTTCACAGATGAGTCTGTTCATTTCGTTTTTAAAAAACCCCCAAAAACCCAATTCTTTTCAAAACCTGTCCAGTTATATATTTTCTTTCACGTTCATCCTTTTACCCACCTGCACACTTTTTCATTCTCTCCATTAATGTATTCTGTTTTATTTCCATTTTTTAATTATTTATTTTGTGATTATTGGTATCTTTTGGAGTATGGGAAAGTCAGGTGTAAGAGGGGAGGGTTACCGTACCATTTTTATTTCTGGAAGAGGATTGGATTTTTCTCACGTAACAAAGCTGTACACAGCCAAGTAAGAGCATGAAGAAGCTTAAGACTCCCAGAGTTTGGAAGGCCATGGCTGTTCAAATGCCCCTTCGGTGGAAGGCTGAGGAGACTGGCGGGGGTGGCGTCGGTGGTACGTCGGCCTGGCCTTGGGCTGGCGTCCGTGGTACGTTGGGCTGGCGGGCGTCCCTTCTTCTGTCAGAGCTGGGTCCTGTGTGGCAGGCGGCCGGGTCCTGTGTGGCAGGCAGCTGTCCCTCCCCCTGTCCTGCAGCCCTTCCTCCCTCGGGGGCTGTGCATGTGTCTGCTGTAGAGACATATCTCTGTGTGTGTCTCACTGTGTGTGTATGGCGGCGGCCGCTACATCTACTTCTTGATTGCAGGACTCCTCTCTGGAGGTCAGGACCAAGCACAGGAAGGTGAGTGCGATGGACAGATGGGGCTGGTTTTGTACTTGTTCCTCTGTCTTTTACTTTCTCTTTTTCACCTTCTCTCCCTGTGTTCCTCTTATGGGTGACTGGTGGGCGCTCTTGTGTGGTTTGCTCCTTCTTTCCTATCAAACATCTATCATCCTTATGGCTCATCCTTTTTTTCTGTGTTTAGTAAGAGCTATAATCTTTAGCACCTATATGACCTATTTGTGCTGCAAGTGCTCTAAAACTTTTTCTTATTCTAAACTTATCTATTTCTCTCTCCTCTCTCTCCCTGTCCATCTCTTTAGTGTCTTCCTCCATCCTTCCCCTCTACCACTCAGTTCCTTTCTCCTCTCACCTGTCTTTCCCCTCAACCACCATGTCCTGCTCTGCCCACCCCCTGTTATCTTATCGTTCTCCCCCCCCCCCATGCCATCCTCTCTGTGTTGCTGGATTAGCGTTGTTTCTGTTGTCTGTCTCTTTTTTCCCCGTCTGTCACTGAAAGTAAAGCCTTAATTGTTTTCTTTCCATTTTTTATAAAAGAGATAGTTTTCTTTAAGATCGTAGTTATCAATGAAATATAGTCCAAGTTTTTCAAGATGGCCACCCATCGTCGAGGAGACAAGTAGTTGTCTTAGTACTCTTAGACAGGTGTTAGTCTTGGACTATGTAATTAAAATGTAAAAAATCCCCAAAACCCACAAGGGGAAAGTGGGAAATAGTCATTTGTACTGGCAATTGTCTTTGGACAGGTGGCTGTTAGAGCAGGTTCAACTGAATGTGTATTGTGATGTGTACTGGTGTCTATAATGTAATGTAAATTTGCCTTTGGCCGTTGTTCGGAGAATGCGTGTTTGATTCCCCTGTGGGGTTGTTCTTGTATGGAGTATCTCTCAGTCTCTGTCTGATGAGCATTGTATCCTACTCAGATGGGGTTGGCCCCTTGTGACAAAGTTGAAGAAGTCTGCCTCATTGTTAATGTAAATTGTGTTGAAGTGAGCCTGAAGCATATACAATGGTATTCAGTCAATTGGAGAGTTGTGGGAGGTTTGTCCTTATAAATTCACACTTTTTAAACTGCTGTAGCAAATTGTTGTATCATTCCTCAAAAGACCAAGCCATTTTTTAAAAGGTTTTGAGACAATGACTGAAAAAAGAGCATCAAGTTAAGTCAGAGCCATGTCTTAGACACTTGTTATTTTTCAATTTGAAACTAGGAATAAAATAAACAAACAAAGATGTCCCTTGAGATTTTTTTTTTCTCCAAGTAACAGCTTTACCTGTCAAATGAGGTAGTGCTTGATGAAGCCCACGTGGGACGCTCAATGTTAAAAACAATCAGGGAACGACAAATGCAGTTTTTGGGACACCTGAATAGACATAAGGGTCTTGTACATCTAACTCTCACTGGCTAAATTGAGGGCAAGCGAGGCAGGGGTAGGCCCATAACAACATATTTAGGGAACCTAAACAAATGGGTAACAGGGAAAGATCAGGGAAACGTAGCTTTTTTGAGAGCATCCGAGCAAAGGAATGAATGGAGAACCATGATCACTGATGTCTGTTGCTGATCTGACACTGGATGATGATGAGGAACAGCTTTACCTAGAACACCCCCCCAAAAATTTAAAAAAAAAATTAAATTAAATTGACTTGGGAAATTGTGGAATAATGCTGGCAAACGCTTATGTAGAACAGTTCAACCTGCTCCAATGACCACCTGTCCAAGACAATCACCTGTACCAATGACCACCTGTCCAAGACAATCACCTGTACAAACGACCACTTGTCCAAGACAATCGCCTGTACAAACGACCACTTGTCCAAGACAATCGCCTATACACAACGACCACTTGTCCAAGACAATCGCCTGTACCAAGGACCACTTGTCCAAGACAATCACCTGTACCAACGACCACTTGTCCAAGACAATCACCTGTACCAACGACCACTTGTCCAAGACAATCACCTGTACCAACGACCACTTCCCTCCCACCGCCCCTCCCTGTCTCAGGCAGGTCTTCTTTGTGTTGTCACAATGTATTTTTAAAAAACAGCAAGGGGTGAAGTGGTGCTTTGTACAGGTGATTGTCTTATACAGATGATTGTCTTATACAGGTGATTGTCTTATACAGATGATTGTCTTATACAGGTGATTGTCTTATACAGATGATTGTCTTATACAGATGATTGTCTTATACAGATGATTGTCTTATACAGGTGATTGTCTTATATAGGTGGTCATTAGAGCAGGTTCGACTGTATGGGTACCTCCTTCTCTTGGAATCTATCTTCTTTTCTTGTGACTGATTATATTTTACTAACTGATAGATGCAATAACGTGTGGTAGTGTGTGTATGTTGTATGTGATCAATGTTTTTTGCTATCATTACTGACTTGTCCATGTTTCTACTATGGTAATATGAGTTTCTGCTCCTGATCTAATTGCAGAGCGCGTCCCCTGATGATGAAGGATGGGAGATGGAAAAAGAAAAAGAGAGGAAGGAAAAGAAGAGGGTGAGTCAATGCTGTGCTTTCCTAGATCCTCTCTTTCACACTGCAGTTGTCTGAATGTCTTTCTGTCTCGCTCCTCCTTCCCTCTTCTGCTTCAGTTATTCATCGATATGATAGTGGTACGCCACTAGAAGTTTTTTTTGTCTGTCTTGGTTTGTCCTAGCACAGAAGGGTCATTATTGTGCCTAAACGATGTGCTCCTCTTCAGTCTTCACTCGTAGTCAGAGAGGTGGTACCACCAAATTTTAAAAAAATGCAATTTTTTTTACATTTCTAAATTTTGAGCTCATTTCATCTGAACTCCTAAAGCTTACTTAAGCTTTTACACTTCTCCCCCTTCCAGGACCATTCCATGGAAGAGCACGACGCGGAGTTCACCAAGCGGAGGAAGAGCGAGGAGCACTACTCGGCCTCACGTAAGACTTTCTTCTCCACTTAACCTCGCTGTCACTGAAAAAAATGACTTTATCAGTGGAAAGACCCTCAGCAACGTTTTGGAGAGAGCAGCGGAGCATTGATGGACATGTCCGGAATGCAGGGATGTTTCTTCCTGAAACAATAAACAATAATTGGGAAGCAGGGGGTCAAGCGTAGCTACAATCGAACCAGTCATAGCCTGGAGGTGACGGTGCTGGCCTCTCCTTCAATAGGTCACGGGTTCGAAACTTGACTGCGACAAGAAAATTTTCTTCCCTAAAATGTTTTTGTCTAGAATTTTTTTCCTTTCACCTCCTTCCCTGCTCTCTTACCATGTGCTGTCGTCTGCTTTCGTCTTCACTTTTCTGCCCCCCTCCCTTCTGGGCTCCTGACTCTTTCTGCAGCGTTTCTACTGCTGCTCCTTGGCTCCTTCTTATTGCTGTCTTTCAGCCACACCCCTGGTCTTATTGTAGGTGAGATTTAACATCTTGACTTCTCGGATAAGGACGAAAAATCTCGGAGATTCTGTGTGCAAGTCACGCATATTGAAGATCCTTTGGTGGTCCTAAAATCGATAGGAGAAGGCTTTGGCCGCCACTTGGGCAAAATTAAAAATTCCTATCAAACTGAAAATGTTTATTGTGTCCCGTGCCCTCATATGACCTTATACTTTTGCGAGCGTGGGAAAATCCTTACCAAAACGTCTGTCTAAGGGGAACATTTTTCTCCTCGGCAATGGATGTCCTTGAAGGACAATTGGTCGCTTTTAAGCAGAAGGGGGCTGTCCCGAAAAATGCTGTTTTGAGAAAATCGAAGGTAAAGTTTTTGCCTCCTGTTCACTTTCTTTAAAAGACAAGAGTTTTTTTCTTTAACCAAACAAATATACACACCAACGAAACCGAACTTCTCCTATAGGTGGGACAATGCCTGGAAACCCCCGAAATCTGGGTTAGCCTGCTTGTCCTTAAAAGCGACCAATTTTGACTATTCTTAATTTTCTTGTGACGCTGACAGTGTAGTATGTTGTTTTCTGTACTCTTTATTTTCTTGAACTTTTGAATGTCTCACCTGAGCTGTTACCAAGTTCATCGAAATGCCAAAGTTTGTGGACCCCCCGGGGCAGTGCCACTGACTGGTGTCATTCCCAAAGGGGGGACATATCTCGTTCAAGCATAGTAGAATTGTAAATGGGCTGACTCATGTCACGCTCGTAACTGTGCCTGATCTACAACAGGGAACTGCTGCTTTTTCTTTCCTGATCCTTACTATTGTCATTTTCTTCTACTTCTTTTGTATGTTTGTCACTCCCTTGTGACCTGCTATTTTGGGGTGCCTTGATAGTTGAAGCAGACCTTGTGCTGTTGAAGCTAG